GCCACGTGCTACTGAAGCCCTACGTGTTCCACCTAGAACCCGAGGGATAAGTAATAATAAAATAATCTAACCTAGCCCAGACTGTTGGTTTATCAAACAAGCACAGTTTTAAATAAAGTATATTCATTTACAAACGTCAACAGCTGCCGCTTACGCTCACTCGATACTGAAAATCAGACGGCCAGAATTATAAGAATAGGCAACAAGTAACTCTGACTGGCAACGAACCAACCAGGAACCTGTCGTCCAACAAATATGCGGAAGAAGAAAGTGGAGATGGGTTACATTGGACATACACTGAGAAGACCGATTGGGGACATCACTCGCCAGGCCATCGAGTGGAACGCGAATGGGAAACGTCGAGTTGGGCATCCAAGGGTGAGATGGAGGAGATGGTGTGAAGAAGAAGTGAGAGCTTGTGGGCAGTTGTGGAGTGAGGCTTGGAAGACTGGAGAGAAGAGAGTGAAATGGTGGTGTTACTGAGGCCATGTATTCCACTAAGGGACAAATAATATAATAGTAACGGAATGCAATTATTTACTCATTTTGATCTCAAGACGGAAATTCTCAGCATCTGGAGGCTGACTCACTGAAATTCTTATTATAATTCTACCCACTTCATAAAAACGACTCCGTTTTTGAGGAATAATTCCTGACTAATAACACGCAAATATCGTCTAGGCTAAAAATTGCACTCTAGAACAACTATGTATACATTTTTCCACTCTTTGATCCAACATACTTTTCATTCTCTCGACTTTCTCACTCACTTAGTTACATTTTAAATCTGTTACCACCATTTAAAATTTTAAGTCCTTGACTGCTTCAAAACGTGGTGATAAATAACATTCCTTTGTGTTCAGTGATACAAAGCAATCCTGTCAATTATCTGATACGTTTATTATAAACTTTCAAGTCCGGAACCTGAATTTGCCTGGAGAATTGATCGTCGAGTAAATTTCTTTCCCAGACTAGATGACTCTTATGTACTCAAAGCGGTACTCATATTTAACCGGTCATTTATATTCACAAATCTGAAAATCTGAGGAAAGGTAGAGAAGAAAGCTTCGAGGACTTGTAGCTGGGTACATTTATACCAGTAAAGCTAAGTATAGACTAAAATGAGTACGGTTATTCTAATGTGTACAACGACTCAGTCACTTTTACTTCCTTTGATGTTCTTCCTCGAAGTATGCAACCAACATAAGTATGCCCCGTCGATCAAGCACTTGATTCATTACTCAAAGGATAGATGTAGTTTTTTGTTCGTAAGCAAGTGAACTGTTAGTTATTCTTTCTGATGGGAACAAAAACCTCATGTATGTAAAAGTTAAGGCAATCTTCAAAGTCATATTGGGTAGCAATATAGTTTATTTATGACACATATAAAATGTGTTATAAGTCACAGTCATACCAGAAACTGCACTTGATAAAATGGCAGCTTGAAATCAATGAGAACACAAAAATACGCTAGAGCAATGTGATGTTTGAACAAATTTATTATTCTGGTTTATCTTTCAGTACAACCATATTATTCATTTCGGTTCTGTACAAAATATAAAATTAAATCTTCACACATGTAGTAATGGGGGTCATAACTTCCGAAAATAATGGTGAAAGGTATCTTTACGGATATATGCAGCCTTATACGTGAAACTTGTTTATTATATGATGAGGTTGTAAAGCGTTTGAGGATGAGGTAGCTTGGACATATGTTGCGCCCAACGAATCACCGCCTACCTCAGTGTGCTATGCTAGGGAAGGTTGGATTAACCCGGAAGAGAGTTCAGAATGTCAGATCAATACGTGGCACCAGTCGATGAAGTCCCTAACTCTTGGGCTCAGCCATGTGTTGTTGGCTTCCTCAAGACGATTGGAATCAGGGGTTGAGGACTCCTGCTGAAATGTCTGGAAGTCGATCGCAGTGCACAGATGTGTTCACTCGTTTGCATACTCTGAAGCTTGAATATTCTCACTTACCTTTTTTCCATCTACCTGTTCTCTGAATACTACTGTGAAGTGCAGCAACCTTAACTGATACACTTGTGTTCAAGATTCTACGCTAATTTTGTCCATATATGACAATGTGTGATAACGAACTTTACATGTTTGAGCAGTAAAAATCTATTGTGTGGCAGTTAATTTACAGTCTGTAATGCAAAGAGCATTTCAAATATCACTTAAGTTCCCATGTAGTCATTTTGTAACAAAGTAATTTACATACTTACAAGTACTTCTAGATCAGTGGAGTGATGATTGCGTTTTCCAGATGTAGAGCCTCTTCATCGAACACATAGTACTTTGACAGAAGTTTGGGCGATACTGCTTAGTAAGTTGTCAGATATAAAAACGTTTAATAGCACCCATGAAGTTCGACAATGCAAGTCAAACTATTCTCTATATGTCAGTTCAGACGGAATTATTTTGTCTATAAGCAACTTATATTGCCTTATAGGTATATGATAGGAGAATATATATAGACATCGTTAGAGAATCAAGATTTAAAATGTGAATTACGTAAACTGATGGAATTCGTTAGACGGACGAAACTCACGAAGATATTAGATTTGTGTACTGAAAAAGGGAAAAATTGCTTCACAACGTTCTGTACTGAATTGTAAAAAATCACGGTCAACCGCTGAATGATGAATTTGGATTTACAGGAGGATACCAATTATATTTTCGGGGATTTAGTTTTTTCATTCGGATTAGAACTCATCGGTGACTGGCTTCGGGAGGTGATTCCCGAAGTTCTAATGGGAATTCGTCACCATAGGGCAAACCTGCTGGCTGTGAGTACAAATGCTCAAAGATGATATTGGGTGGCGGTTGCGCTCTGTTGTTAACTGACACGGGTTGGAAATATCGACAACTGGATTCCGACCAGGTGACTCAATGGTAACGTGCTGGCTACCAAACCAGAAGGTCATGGGTTCGATCCCGGGCTGGTTTGTGGGTGCGCACTGTCGAGGAGTCCCATACTAGGACGACACAGCTGTTCCGTGATCCAACGTTTCTAACTTTCCCCCAACTAATGTCAGTCCATGATGAATACCAACGTGAAAAAGGATACCGATTAGTTTCAGATGCTTTTGAAAAGAAAGTCATCAGTATTTGACTTTTTGAATAAATTAGCCCAGAATCGCTACTGTAGTTTGAACTGTTTTGTCTCCTTTAGAATTCATCAATGCGAAGCAACTTTTCTGTTAAACTCAAGGATACGGTTTGAATAGGCATAATTTTTTCCTTTTACCTAATCCCACCACCTCTACATATTTGATGAAAGTGTTATGATCGTTCTTCTCATCAGCCTACTCACCAATGTTCCGATTCAGGTTTGCTGTTTGAGGACAGAAAACTGGGAGCCTATGCTGCCCCTTTTCCAGTAGATTTCCGTGTTTGTCCAATCTCTGTTTTAATGGGTCAATTGATGATGCGGACATCACTTCTTCTGACAGTCAGTTCCAGGAGTTGATTACTCTACGCGAGAACCAGTACTCTGCGGAAACCATGTTCGTTCTTTGCTTCTGTAGCCTCCTACTATGTCGTACTATGACAGACCAGTTCCAGGGTCGTTTCTTAGAATCTCATATGGAATGATTAGGCCTCCCTTCTGTCTGCGGTAGAACAAAGTGAAGAGGTTCAGCTCCTTAAGTCGATCTCCATCGGTGAGGACAGCCATCGCAAAGATCCTACGAGTGGCTGCCCTCTGAGATCTTTTTAGAGGGTATGCGTCACTTTTTCAGACAAGGATTTGCCTCCTGGATACAGTTTTCTAATTTAGACCCAACTAAGGATGTGTATAAGATGATGATGTCATCATTACTTTCGCAAACGTTCTATGTAATGCCCAGTGTCCTAAAACCCGAGCTGCTACCAATCGACAGTGAGCCGTGGTTTTCAAGTCGTAAATCGCTGTGATTCCAAGGCCATTATGGGCAGTACTGATGGTAGAGGAGTCTCTGTTGCTGTGTGAGTGCCCTAGGCACATGCTTACACAACTACCCGCATTGATAGGCATCAGCCATTTCCCTGATCAGGTAAACAGGCTGCTCAGGTCTGCCTGAAGCGCACGTATATCCCAGTCGTTCCCAGTTTCCAGCTTGATCTTTGTATCATCAGCGTAGGGAGCCATAGGAGATTTCGTGACATATAGCAGCTCATTTACGAATGGGAGAAACAGTAGGGGGGCCAGGACTGTCTTACCGCATTCCCCTCCCTACCAACTTCCAAGAGGAGAGTTGAGAATTGATCCTTACTCTTTGTCTCCTACTAACGAGGAACTCTCTTATCCATGCGAGCAGACTGCCAGTGATTTCAAAATTTCCTAGTTTTCCGAGCAACCTGGAATGAGGTACTTTGTCGGACACCTTCCTAAAGTAAATGAAAATGACGGCTACAGGTATCCTATCATCTTTAGAATTACCCCAACTTTCTCTGAATGTAAGGCGGTTTGTCAGGGAAGAGAAATCTCAATGAAAACCATGCTGCCAAAGAGATAATAAAGTGTTACTCTATGGGCGGACTGTAATGGCTTTCTTGGTCACTCTTTCTAGGATTTTCATAACAATACTGGTCAAAATTATCGGTCTATAGTTCAGTGGGTGCTGCCTAGAACCTATCTCGTAGATAGGCACAACTATGGCATCCTTCCAGTCATAGGGGAGTGTGCCTTCACTTAGAGACAGTCTTAATATAGTAGTCAGTTGGCCGAGTACATAGAGTGGAAGTTCTCTAAGCAGCCCCAAGAATTCGATAAGAGAGATCAAAAATGTCTGTATTCTACGTTTTTACCATTTATTGAATATATTATCTTGAGGCGAAAAAGGAGATGCTATCTTGTCCAAATTGGCTAGGACCTCAAGTACATTGAACATAGGACTCACTGAACGCACGTAATTTAAAGTTGTTAGGTGACCTTATAACGTGCTTAAGTTCTCTGGGTTGAACGCACAGAATTTTTTGTTTCGCAATTTATCGATGTTCATATTGTCTTGTAGATGGAGGTATATAACCCACTGATTTCTTTCCTATTTGTCGAGGGAGTAAATCATGATATCCCTCAAAACAGCCAGTCAAAACTTATGTTTGTTCTTAAACGTTCAAGAAATACTGATATTTCACAGTTAACGATGAAATATCTGTATTTACTGTTCAGGATCGATCATTTTTAAGTGTGGCTAAGTTATTTGATTGTGAAATAATGGACTTCCGACAATGTAATTATTCTGTCGAGCTTTTGGGGTATTCGGGGTCAAGTCAGAAATTAGTTTATAGTCCTTTTCCCATAAATAAATGCCTGTGTGCTCTTCTATGTGTGCAAACTTCCTATATGGGAACTGTGGTACGCTGGAGTATTTATCAACTATACATTCCATAAAGACCCATTTCCTACGTACAAGTATCATCAACATATCTTTTTAAACCTCATTTTGATTTGAAATTTTTCGATTTCCTAATTCTACTTTCCGTGGTATTCATAATATCTGTGGCCAACGGTTATCCTATGTATGGCGACTTCCGGAAAAACCAACCAGGTAGTTAGATGCTACTGTGTCTGATTGGCATCAACTTTTTATCCCCATTCACATTAAATCTTTGCGTTTGAGTGTATGATATTCGCTAGTCGGGACATTCGTTGTATAATCGCTCTGCCCAAATAGCTGCGTCAGTTATTGTCTTGTGACGGATTCATCCACACAATTCAGTTTTATGGGGTCTCAGTTGGACGTGAACAGGTTAGTAATTAAGCCTCTAACTTGAGCACGAAGTGATGCAGAATACATTCACTGACAGAGGAACAGTTCCTCATGGTTGCATATATGCTGCACCAATTATCCTTCAGTGACTGCTTTGTGAATTGTCCCGAGTCTAGGTGAGTTAAGTGTTTACTTATTTCGCCAGTGTTTTTACTGATAGTGCCGAAACGACTACTAAAGCCATTCTTTGATGGATGTGAGGGTACCTCCTCATTGGTAGGAATCGTCTACTTGCTTCCTAGATGTTTATCAAGTATTCACTTCACTTTATTTTGTGTATTTAATTCATTGACGCTTTCGGCCACATGTTCTAGTCATATGTACACTATTGAGTATGTGGTCTATTATGTGATTGGGAGTAGCATGATGTCATCCTGCTAACCACTTTCAAAAAGTAGTATAGAGGCTGGAAAACTGGTTTTGAAGTAAACATTAAGGGAAAAGTAAACATGCGAGAAGGAGAAGAAACAGAGGTTAGGCAGTATTTACATAGTTTTGGAGTTGTTTCGAAGAAAAGTGTTTCCCCATAACCCTCACTGAAATGTAAATGATCGAACTCTGGATTGCTTGACCTAGCACGCATCACTGAATTAAGTTTTCACAAATATCACTAACCTAAGTCTTCTTTTACAGTACATTATTTTTCGGCCGTTCTGTTTGTTTCTTCATACATGATCGCTCTATTCGCTTATCACTTTCAGGAAAAGAATCAACCCCAGAATTCCTGTCCTGGTGATCGACCTCCTGGTTTTGTAGATGCTGTTCTCAAACCAAGTACTAGTTTACCGGAGGGTGTACATATCCAGGTGAAAGGCTATGATTTCAATTCTGGTCTGGACTACGACGCTTTGTTTTCATCTTTTGAATGTATCGGTTTTCAGGCAACCCACTTCTCAAAGGCTGAACACGTTTTAAATGAAATGGTAAGTTCTCTCCAGTTCACATCGAATTGGATAGTTTTCAGTACAGTAAACTGAGAGGGATTTTCATGATATCTCATATATAGGACGATTTCATTTTCATCAGTTCAGTAGACCCTTTTTGTAATAAATATTTATGGGAAACGTTTGGTATGCATGTCCCAACTGATGAAAACATTCTTGTGTAATTAATCGTGTTTATTCACTTCCTAGCGTATCTGTCATATCTATTTCGAGTTAATCGACTTTACAATTTTAGAGACAGTAGATCTGTTTTTAAGTTCTTATATCGTAAGGTTGACTACAATTTATTGTTTATTAATTATTAAACGCAAACTTGGTACACAAAAATCGCAGCTAACTAAATGCTCGTTATTTTTCTGACTTTTGAATTTTTTACTGCTCATCTGCTTCCTAATCCTGTTTACTGACCACTTAAAAGAACGAGGTGTAGCCCAAAATTTGTTTTTTACTTTGGGTACACTGATTATTTTGCTTATTTCACTCCAGTCAGATAAGTTTCTGAAGACAGCAAAAATACCTGATCAAAGATAATCATGGTATGCAACTAGAAGTACCTTAATAGGACATTAGTTCTATTACTTTCGTTAAAATCTTACCTTTTATCAGTTGGTTTAACTAGTTGCTTTAGTTTCATTCTTTTTTATCTTATCCGTTTGCTTCCTTTCACATTTCCATCTCCATTTATCGGTAGTTATGTTGTGGGAAAGTCTAAGCAAATATAGTTCTAGCTGTTTCCGTGCTGTAAGGATCCGCATTCATAAATTCAACAATATACATCTGTTAAATAAAAATTGCTAAATATAAACGTAACTATACCAATTTTCCCGCTTTCAATCATAAGGATGTGAAATACTCCTGTAGCCAAAGTTAAGTAAGAGCTATGCAACATCGTTCGAACTGATTGATGCGAGAGGACTCATTTCAGGAGGTGCTGATCATATTGACAAGCAAGTACTACTTAAACGTAGAAGGTGGAGCTCCTGCAGTGATTATGATCAGTGATGGGTAGTTAGAGCGAAAGAGTTTGAGAAGGCATCGACATCAGCTAATACAAAGCATTTATTTAGGCTTATTAAAGACACTGTCAAGGAGAAGATAATGGTGAGTGAGACCGTCATCGAAAAGGATAGTACCCTGATAACCTTTCAGCACAGGCATCCAAAACGTTGCGTAGAACACAATTCACCTAGCTTACAGCCTTGCTTCAGTGGCCTAGTCTACAACGTGAACCTGGATCGGCCATAAATGTCGGTCCTCTAACTCTCTTCGAAGTTGAGAAGGCTGTTTTGAAGCTGCAATGATGCACAGCAGCAGGACCTGACGGTTTGTAAGGAAGGATTTAGGAGTAACTATGGTACTATTTCTACTATGAAAATCATCCCAGTTTATCAGAAAGGAAAGGTCTTCTTGTAGCAACCATAAAGGAATCAGTTGAAGTAACATCGTTTTCAAAATCCTATGCCCTATAGTTTTACGCCGCCTAATTGGGTTCACCCTAACAACAAACCTTGTACTCGGGGGACGTAATTTTTAAAGCTACTAGACTATCCGTTTTAAGTAAAATTTTTGTGAATAGATAACTGAACTATAATTCTTTCCTTAAAGTTGGAAATCATAGGTGAGATCCCACCACCATACCATCTATTAGTATGTAGATTTCATTTTTAAATATGAAATGCATGTTGAAAGTACATCTGATTGTTGGTCTAAGCCATATAGGGAAACGTAGACTTCCTGTTTGAGATTTGCCTGACAATTGAAATAGGGGATCGGATACTCCAAGTGATGTAACTGTAAATCAGTCTCATTGATGGAAACGTATCCGCTTACTATCTTCATCATATTTGTCATACCAGATCTCATTGTTATGCTATCCTGTTCTCCTTTTATGACTGTACACTACTTATAACTGATCGCTGTCTTTCATATGTTCGTCTCCTACCTTGATGTGCTGGCATGAAATGTAGCAACTTAGACGATTACGCGGCAATATCAAGTTTCATGTTGATGCTGACTGTCTGATGCATACACTTGACATTGTTTTATATAAGGATTAAATTCTACTTTTCATTCCACACTTTCCCATGCTTGCTGGTTTTATTTTCACCTGTCTCAAATAACTTTGTAGTTGGTTTTTTATTACGTATGTCTTAACCTCACAAGTCTCTCATATATTTCTTTTTGGCACAGATTAACAAGCGAAATTGTAAACCTACTTCAAATGAGGAAATTGAATTAGCACAAACCTTACAAGAATTTCACCCTTTGAATCGACCATTGTTTGGTTGTACTATATTCCTGGCATATACATCAAATATGGTTAGCTCTGGTGTTCGAGAGGTTATACGCTTTCTAGCTGAACATAATATGGTAAGATTTACCAACTTAGGTAACACCGTTGTTGAATAATGAACGTTAGCTATACATTCTTAAGCATATTTTATTTTGCATATATATATATATATATATATATATATATATATATATATATATATATAACACGGAGAGGTTATCTTGCTAGTAGCATGCATAATTACTTAGTTAAATAGATCTTCCAGATGACTTGCGCTTGTTTTCTGCTGTTGAATTGCAGCTGAAAAGGGTAACATATGACTCTACCGACAATAGTAGTACTGACCATAGAGATCAGGAGAAGAAGGGAACGCATTCAGCTACCTTGTGCACGCTCATGCAGCAGGCAGTGAGCCACACGTATTATGTGAGAGTTAGTGATACTACCTGTCCGCCTAAACCTTGGTAGGTGGAGCTGGGCTCGAACCTGTGACCCAGTGGTTGATAGTCGTCTCCATAAGCCACAGCCTCTCGATAAACCTGGAAGCAGTTTAAGGCTGTTTCGTCCTGATATGAGACTCCTTGGTAGTACAGACCCACGACCTGGCTAGGGATCGAACCCAGGACCTTCAGGTTTCACGGTGAATTCGCTAACCATTCAACTACTGGGTTCAGGAGGTGAGAGTATAAACTTTGTTAGGTGTGTTGATATTACCATCATACGTGCTCAGACGGAACCTGGTGATTGTCTGGAAAGTCATAAGATGTTTGTAGGACGACATTATTAGGTAATAAATGAACAGCTTTTCTCTACCACACAGATGATATCATCCGTATAGTCAGGGTTGATGAATCTTTCTCATGGTGGAGCAGATCTATACCATCACTATCACATGTTTCCTTCAGGGTTGTCTCAATGTCAATGACTGCAAAGATGAACGATAATGACGAAATGGGACACGCGTGCTACTGGTTTACAGCGGCAGAGATAGGTGATTGTATACCGTAAGTCTACCCGAGGTATTTTAGTGAGGTTCCTTCAAGACTTCAATGGAATCCTCAGGGGTATTCCTGTAAAACAGACAAATTCCTGTCCAACGGATCGATCCAACCTCTCAAGTAATCATCGTGTTTTACCTCTTCACTCCTTTTTTAGACTAGATATCGGTGCAGATCAGTCCTAAAAAACAGTTTACATCTGAAAGGTGAGGAATGCGTTTTAGACGTTCTCAATTTATCACTAGGTGTGTTCACAACACACCACATTTTGTCAGTATCTTCACTCAACAGGACTTTTTTTTCGTCTACCGTCATGATAAAAAGGCTCAACCATAACACGGAAATAGCAGGTGCTGTCAGTGGATAGCCTAATAATCTAATTAAAGGCTGAGTACGATTCAAGCCATTCGTTATGCCTTCCAAATGTTTCCCGCAGTAGACAACCTTTCAACATTGTTTCGACGTAAGATATCGTTGAGTCGATACACTTTCTGAATTCATTGTTGGTGTTCATTCTAAACTGATGTTAAATACCAATTCATCGGTGTGCAAAATTACTCCATACCTACCTCTAAATTGAGTGGGTGAGATGCCTTACTGTTTGCTTGCTTACCTTTGCACTTTCCCTGAAATGCAATAAGTAATTTCTTCGTAACTAGTTCGGCGATCAGGTATACTAGTGAATCATAAGTCAGCTGGAAATTGGATTTAAATATTAACGGTTATTTTGAGTTTTATCTATATCGGTAATTATGGTTATCGTATGTTGATACGATACTGAACAAGAGTTAAGACTATCTCAATCAGTGGGTCACAGGTTCGAACACCGCTACACCTACCCAGGTTTCGGCAACCAGTTAATATCACTATCCCTCACACAAAAGATGTGGCTCATTGTCTGCTGCACGGATTTGCACAAGATGTTTGAGTGCATTTCGTTTTTGTTTCAAGTTAAGACTAAGAAAAACGAGGTATTCAAATCAATTTATAGTGGTTTAAAGGATTTTCCACTAAGTATATGATGTTTTTAACTTTGAGTTTTGTATTTCCCAACGGAAATAACCTGAAAATCACTAACGGTAATTAACATTTTGTTTTCGTATTAGAGTAAGATTAGATGAAAATTTAAAGTACTAAAGATAGTTTTCAACAAGAACTGAAGTCAATTGGAAAACCCTTGAATGCCTGGGAGCAGTGGGTGTGTTTCGTTCAAGTTTGCTACTCAGTGCAGTGCACACCCACGACCTTGTGACATATCGAGCGCCAGATCTCATGATAAGTAGCTTACCATCCAGCTACTGATGAAAACTACCTTGAGATCAATCAGTATCCACAAGACGCAAATTGAACTAAATAGGATTTGTTAACTGAAATGTATTATTACACTATACATTCGGCACTGATAAAATTACGACTCATCATAGCGAACGTCACCGAAACTCGACAACCGAAAACTCCAACTGAGCTTAAAAGATTTGGTAAGGACCTTCAGTATATCAGTGTTACCGTTATGTATTCTGTATTCATCGTATGAAGTAATTCAGTATTTAATACTATTTCCGCTTACCTACTAACCTAAAAGTGTTCATTTCAGATTGATTCGTGTCCCTAAAGTGGAACTGACCATAGTGATACGTAGGTGATCATTAAAGAATTACGGTTCATACTCTCAACCTTGATGCTATTCATGTAAAATATGAGTTCAGAAAAGTTAGAAACTTGATCCCTTAAACAGTCGTCATGCTTGTTCCGAAGATCGGTCAAGATTTTGGTAGGTTAATCAACAAATGTAGTTCTAGAAATATTCCTATTGGATACAGAATTTGCGGACGATGGTAAAAAAAATAGCAAATTTATATGAAGTATGTGTAGCAATCAAGATGGACTATTTTTGCCATCCGTACTATGGAAAATCATATTTTTTTCCTTACCTGGTCCTGACCGACTCTACAAGAACAAACTTCGAAGTTATCAGTTACTGAGGTAATAGATCATCGATTAACTTAGCACAATCCTACTTCTGTTGCAAGCTAAGCTTCAACCAGCATTCGAGAGTCGACACCGACTTCCAAATCAGACCGTGGTCAGTTACATTTTTATTTTATGACAATTATGAATGTTGACACTGGGTGGACTTAAGGTGAAATGAAAATTTGAACCGCAGTCGGAATCGAGCTGGCGGCCACCGCGTTTCCGACCCTTTCACCTTCCGTCTCAGATCAATGGTGTCACTTCAGTAATATTTGGTCCTGTATGCGATCTAGTAAGTGGTTTTGACTCAAAGACATTTTTCACAAATTAATAGCAATCCGGTCTAGTTCCAGTGGATTACTCTGGGTCATAATAATTGCTTTCATGCATGTAAAGATATCAGTTATATTAGTGATGAGTTGAAAGTTAACTACTGCCCATAATTCAGTTCTTTTGGATAGTATAAGTTTTAAGATATTTATTTCTACAGGTTGATGTGATAGTGACATCTGCTGGGGGTATAGAAGAAGACTTTATCAAGTGTTTAGCCCCTTCATATATTGGAGACTTTGAAAAATGGCGTGGCCATGAATTAAGGGATATTGGTGTAAATCGTATCGGTAATCTGCTTGTACCAAATAACAATTATGTTGAATTTGAACAATGGCTTCTTCCCATTTTGGACCAAGTGTTGGATGAACAAAAATCTCAGGTTTGTTTTCAATCCACATCTATGTACATGATTTCATATAATGTATAAGATACAGAATTTTTTTTATTCCCCTTTTCAAAGATCCTTTGACTGTGATTCACTTAGACTTTAAATAAATGTTCTTGTCTTTTTTCGATACTTTTTGTTTGCCCTTAAAACTGTCTAAATCTTAGTTGATTTGATTTAAACTTGGTCCATTTAAAGAGGAAACGATTGCACACATCTATGGAATGTTTTAAGGTGCGATATCCTTCAAAAATCAATGAGAATGTATCGTATGTCATAATTGAAGTAAGCAATCCATATTCTAAATCTAATAAATAAGCTTTACCCTTATAGAGCAGATAATGGTTATTTTACACTGAAAATATCGTTGTTTGATAACATAGGCTGTGATAAAGAATATGTTCATTTACTATCTTTTCTGTCACCCTAATTAGTATATGCCATGGAGAGAGGCGATTAAAAGGCATGCACTAAAAGTGGTTCACATATCAGAGCTGGTGGAAGTTTATAATTTCTTTGAATCACCCATTGATGGAACCAACGCACTTAAGATTTCAGTTGTTCAGTGTTAGCAACCATTTTTCAGTATCAATGACTGTTTTACATACTTGGAGTAGGAATACAGCCTAGTACTGTGTCACACACATAGAACCCTGATATATGAAGGTTGGAACACAGTTGTTTTTACAGGTTATCTGTTTTCGAGAAAGATGCCTATGTCTTGTTCATATCCTGTAATTATTTTTGTTACTCTTATAAACTGTTTACACATTTACGCATAGTTTGTGTATAAGGCATACTAGTCATTCAGCACAAAGAACTGTTGTTGTACGTTTTATAAAACTTATTGGATCTAAACTATTTTACTTAGAATATAAACTGGACACCATCTAAACTAATCAATCGTCTTGGTAAAGAAATTAATAACAAAGATTCAGTATATTATTGGTGCTATAAAGTAAGTAGTCAAATTTTTGTAACCTATTTCATACAAATTGAATTGTCATTAACTCTTAATTTTATGGTTTCTTTCAGACACTATAGTCTTCGATTACTTGATGTTGGTATTTGAATGTACTGATTAACATATACAGAGCTATATGCCATTGTGTTTAAGGTACCAGTGCATCATAAATTCTAACTGTGGTACACCTGTCAAGGTTCGGCAGCAAAGTAAAATCTACCATCGACCGTCTCAGAACAAGAACGATTAGTAGCCTTTTGAATGAACCTCAGCGATATGAGTTTCATCTACTGATGTCTGACCATCTCAATAGTATCACTAATCGTCACACAATATACGTTGGTCATAGCTTAGCAGTATTTGAATTGGATTGTATTTTAACTGATGATGGGCTAAGCTTCCTAATGGCAAGATGCTTACTCACTTTACAGATCTGTACTACTTAGCCTAGGTAAATGGTTTAAAAAAAAGGAATTTAGGTAAAATAAGCAATTCAACGAACACGCAGCCTAAAATGATGCAATTTATAGAACCAATGAATACCAGAGAATACGGCGAATCTGTTGCATACTAGTTTGGAACTCAGTAATAATTGTCTGCCGAAACAGACCCAGAAACTTCAACTTTCTTCATGAACACCTTAACGGCAATAAATCGTAGTCGAAATGGTTAAGATGGGCATGAATTCTTGAATTACAGCTATTGAACATTTTTATTAAAAAATATTCAGTACTCAGAATACGAACAGTTCGATTGATTGCACTGGATCTCTGTTTATGATTACTTATATAGGGAATAACTTTGTTACTTGCTACTCATTTATATATGTGATTTTTTGGATTCGATAAGTGAGTAGTGTCTTGCCTATACTAAGAAATATCTGTTCGATGATTCGTTTGTGAAAAATAAAGACTAGAGATTGTAGCCTTATTACCTAGACATATATATTGATTGAAAAATCTAAGCTTATTACACTTTTTTCCTTTAAGATAACTAGAAAGTATCATTATCTTGTTATTCTACCATTTTCTTTTCCGTTACTGTATATTTTTATGCAATTTTTCATTTTTACCATAACAGAATAAAATTCCGGTATTCTGTCCAGGTTTAACAGATGGTTCTTTGGGTGATGTCTTATTCAGCCATACTTATCGATCCCCTGGTCTGAAGATTGACTTAGTTGAAGATATTCGAAATATAAATTTATTGGCAATCAATGCACGATCTACCGGAATGATAGTGCTTGGTGGAGGCCTTATAAAACATCATACATTCAATGCTAACTTAATGAGAAATGGAGCTGATTATTGTGTTCTTATCAATACAGGACAAGAATTTGACGGGAGCGACTCTGGCGCTAGACCAGATGAAGCTGTGAGTTGGGGTAAAATTAAAGGAGCTGCTGAACCAGTTAAGATTAATGCTGATGCATCTTTAATATTTCCTATATTAGTTGCACGAACGTTTGTTAAACAAATAAACTCATGATACTTTGAATTACAAGAAACTTCTTTATAAAAAAAAGTTTTCCAGCTTATGGTGCTTAATATTTAGTGTTCTTAGATAGTTTTCCACCGTTTTCAAGATAATGCTTAACCTGATTTGTGGGAAACTCCCTGAAATCTGTTTCTTAACAATGCAAAACTTCAGCATACAACTAGGTTCTTGGAGACAATAATGCGCTACTTGGTGGTATAGCTGTAGTCTACTTTCTTTCCTTATGTTTTGATTTGAAATCCAATTCCCTATTGATGGTCATTCACAAAGGTTGCTACTGATGAAATTAGCGATGAACTAACTCATTCAACTTGCAGGGAAGTATTTTTTTTAATGTGAAACTTGCAGTTTGATATTCATCAAGATTCTTACAACCATCCACGTACCAACACCTTCAATATCCGCAGGTAAGCGTATAAAGAAGAGTCAAAGTCTTTTTGAAGAGGTCCTATTGTCTAGATTATTATTATTTATCCTTGGGTTCCTAGTGGGACATAGGGCTTCAGTACGACGTCCCCATTGCACTCTGTTTTCTGCAATCTATTGAACCTGGATCCACGACTGCCCAGAAGCTTTCATTTCCTCCTTACACGATCCCCTCCATATCACCCTCGGACGTCCAACTCGTCAGTACCCCTTTGGATTCCACTAGAGGGCACAGCGCGTGATGTCTCCGAATGATCTTTTCAGTGTATGTCCAATCCATCTCCATTTTCTTCTGAATATTTGTTGAGCGATGGGTTCTTGGTTAGTTCGTTTCCAGAGTTCCTTGTTGTTTATTCTTTCTGGCTATCTGATCTTCAGTATTAAATGTAGGCAGCTATTGATGTGATGCATGTTTGCAGTTTGTTGGAAATGCCTTTCATAACGCGCTAAGTCTCTCAACCATCACATAGAAGCACTGACCGACTTACCTGACTGACATTAGTGTTGAAAATCCGGATCTTGTTCACCCTCTATACTGAGTGCATTGCAGTGGACCTCCACACTGATTTCAGATTAATGAGTGTCTATCTTGCAATCTTTTCGATCCTGGCTGCTTTGACATCCTTATGTGTGCCTGTGCCTCCTGTAGTTGAAACGATACTGTCTAGGTAGTTGGGCGAAAGAGAGAACTTCCTTTAGATTTCTCCCGTTGATGGTGATTGGTGCTTGTTGTTGGTTAAGTATCTTCATCACCTCTGTCTCCTCTACGTTCACCTAAAGTCCCGTCTTTGCAGTTCTGCCTCTTCTGTCAACTTGTTGGTTTTCGCCTGTAGATCTTCGAGTTTGTGCGACATTAAACATAAATCATCGGCGAAGTCCAAGTCTTCTAGAGTATTTTCATCGGTCCAGCTAGCGTATGTCTATCTTCTCGCACCTCACGGTGTGCTGCATGATCCGGTCTACCACAATCAGGAAGATCATCGGTGATAGTAGGCAGCCTTGACTTCAGTTCAAAAGCGTCGCTGAGCTTTCCATTGTCAATCACTCGACATGTAGCATCATATAGCTGCTGTTGAATGAGGTTGATAAAGGTTTGTAGTACTCCGTAGTATTGAAGCAACTGCCGGATTACTTCTCGGTCAACGCTGTTAAAGTCGATGAAGTGAAGTTGGCTGCCGTTCTAAGATGATGCGCGGCATTGGAATTCGGTCCGAACATGATTTGTTTTTTGCGGAGCCAGTCAGCCTGTTCCGGTCGTAATTTTGAATCCAGCGCATCTTTTAGTCTCTCTAGGATGATACGGCTTAATATTTTGCTTGGGGTGGACAGGAGTGGAGCATGATTCCTCGCCAGTTCTTGGGAAGACTTAGGTCTCCCTTGTTTGGCAGTTTGACAAGGTAACCCTTCCTCCAATCAATATGCAGGTAACTTTCGTTTCTTCTTTCCAAACCTTCTGCAATAGTGATGTGAGCATGTTTGGTGTTGTCTCTGCGTGTTTTCAGTGTTTCTGGCGGAATTCCATTTGATCCTGCCGCTTTCCCGGATTTCAGTGACTACGGTGTTCAGGACTTTACTTCTGCTTTTGTCGGAGGGCTTGTGTTCGCTGGTAATTCTATGGCTTGCCTGCTGGCGGTATTTCTGGACGAGTTGCAGGTGGTGGTCGATGCAAAAGTTTTTTGAAGTGCTCAGCTCACTGTTTTCTTTGTTTCTCCTTTTTGGAGCTAGGTTTCCTTCACTATCTTACATTGGTTTCATTTGTGTTGATCTCTTCTCTCCCTGATAGTAACCTGGTTATTTGATATAGTGTTGTCAGGTCTCTGTCTCTCCTACCTGCAACCTGTTCTGTTTCATTTGCCAGTGTGTTGTAGAGGTGTGTTTTGTTTTTGCGCGCACTCTTCTTCACTTCTTTGTCTAGTGTAGTGTTTTATAAGTTGTTATCAGTTCCTCTTTTCGTTGTCCGTTCCTGAACTGCACTGCGTCGGTTTATCTTCTACCTTACCATCTTCCTCTCCCTGCTGTATCCGCTTCCATGTGTTCGTCGAAATCCATTCCTTGTCTTTTTTCTTCCTTTCTAACACGGTTATGCAGGTTTCCTTACACGTCTCTTTCGAAACGTTCCAGTGTTCTTCCATGCAGGTTTCCTCAGGGATATTGCCCAATATCTCCCATTTTTCCCTGATGGCTGACGTGAAGGTATCCTATATGGTTTCATCCTTCAGTTTCTATTCTGGGTGTTGAACTTGGACTACAGCCTATCACCAACTTCTTTGAAGGCTTTCAACTTGATTTTGAAAGTAGGTTCCTTGCACTAGATAGTGAGTGGTGTGAACCCACATCTGCTCCCCTTCTTGATCTTGTGTCCAGTAGGCTGGCTGCGTCCCCACTTTCTTGAGGTTGAGTTAAAGTCGATCTGAATTTTAGTATGTCTATCGGGTAAAATCCATGTCGCTGCCTTGTGAGTATCCTTGTGTTTGTACACACTGCCTGACTCCGATCACCAAATCATTAAAGGTACAGAAGTCTGCAAATAGTTCTCGTTCATTTCAACGAGTGCCTCTCGACCCATGATTGATTCTCTTCTTGTGTTGTCCGCTCCCAGTTTGGCATTCATGTCATCCCACCCATTAGAATTTTGATGTCGCCAACTAGGGTGGTGTCTTGTCCAGCACTGATTGCAGTTGTCTGTAGAATTTTTCCTTCTCTTGATCTGCATTATTTGTAGGTGCGTAGTGTAGCATTGTATGAATGTGACTTTCCTTCCTTTTGAGTTCGATCTTGCTGTCATGATCCTGATCCTGCAGGAGGAGATTGATTCCCACTGCATAAGAGCCTTAAATGTTCTTGGGACATCATGATAGCCACTCCAAAACTCAGTGTGCTCGTGGTTGTCGTCTGGGTGACAATATCGGAGTAGATTATTGACTCTCCAGTTGACAGTTTGGAGAGTCCACTGCCATTTGATCTGTTTTCGCAGATTCCCACCCTAGCACTTCTATGCTTGCTGTACCTCCTCATCTCTTTTACAATCTGGTCAGCCTTGTTAGGTTCAAATATGGTTCGGACATTCCACGTCCTCATTCTTACTTTTGGTTTCATCGAGAGAAGATACGTCGGTTAATTGGCTTCCCGAAGTTTTTCGCCAACCGGCGTCATTTCGCTTCTCCGATTCCAGCGAGGAATAAGTTCAATTTCATTCTTTATATTTCCTTTGTGCTTTGAAGTTTCTTTAGCGATTGAATTGGTTTTCCGGGGTAGGGTTGCTAGCCCTATGCCGAACCTTCCCTCTTTATCCGGGCTTAGGATCGGCTAGTAACTAGTTACCTAGACGAGGTTCTTATTGTTTCTACAATAGGCTAAAATAGGTGTTTATGATGAAAGGAGTTTGAACTTGTCCAAAATTGGAAATATTGACATATTAAAAGTACGGTCAACCAATAGTAAAAGTGGTCACACGTAACCCGTATGGACGTCAAAATCGATGTGATTTTATGGGTGTGGTTAAATGCATTTCGTATATGATCTTAACCTCTGCAGTTTTACACTATATCTTTTGAGGCATTACTTCCAATTAACAGAGCGTTTCTTACTTGGTAATAACTATGAATATATACCGAACTAAAGAAGAAATTATATTTCATCCTTGGGTTGTGATATAAATTTATTATCATTTTGACTATGAGATAGCTGTGGTTTGGTAAACCAGTACGGATACTGTGTGATGATTGAAAATGAACCGCGGCCGGACTCGAACCAGCAAACACGGGGTTGTCAGCCCAGTGCTCTACCGATTGGTGATTGGAGTGAAATAAAAACCTGGTCAGCAATCAGACCTCGTAACTCAGTTGGTAGAGCATGGAGCGGGCAACCCGGTGGTCGCTGGTCCGAATCCGGCTGAGGTTCAAATTTTCATTTCACCTTCAATCGTCACCTAGTATCGATATAAATTATTCTTAAATGTACGTTCCACTAACAATTTGAGTTGTTTCGATTATTCACAATAGGCATCACCTGATGGTGAAACAATTGTAATTAACTTTTTCATTCATCTACTATATAGGTGCATTGAAAGTTGAATATCGATAAGTCAGACAACAAAGAATTCGAACGAATCTTGGGCACATAAGCGAAAGTCAGATTAGATTGTAATATTATTTGTAGACATGGCTTTAATGTCTGCGACTTACCTAACAGGATATAATTTCAGTGAATTTGTAAATTGGTAGTATGCATAGTTTAAAATAGTATCAAGATTTTCCCATAATTCTACAGTGATCGAACCGATTAGTAGCGACTAATCATATGCAACGGCAGTCCAGTTATATATACTGGTCATGTTATCAACAAACACATTCCTACTACCAAAAAACTAGTGTTCACTTCTACATCAATCGGAGATTCAACCAAACAATCGATTATCAAATACTTGTAACCATCTTATGTCTTACTTACAAATTAAGTAGTTAAACTGGTTTTAAAGAGTCGTAAACATGATAACTCCTAGACTTTTATGAATAAAAATATAAGTACAGAATTTTTTCAAACAATAATCCAATTTTCAATTGGGGAGTAACGGATACAAATATATATATATATATATATATATATATATATATATATATATATATATATATATATATATATATATATATATATATATATATATATATATATATATATATAGTTACACCACAGAATTGCAAGTGTATTACACATATTTATCAGATGTTTTAATAAAACTATGGATTTTATTACCCATTGAAATACTTAGCATTTTCTTTCCAAATAACGTAAAAAGAAATGCAGCCAAACTTATCGACATTGCAATAACATAGTGACTAATACTAGTCCCTATATCTAACCAACTGCCTTCGTCTCTCAACCATACAAAAAAGTGAATAGCAATTAAATCGGACAATACAGCAGTTAGACCAGTATGAGCTAAAAGAGAATAATATTCATATTTTGTTTGCATATTGGCGCATTTGATCGAAGATGAATTACCACTGAATAACTGAACAGCTGCATATATTACGCCCAAAAACAGCATAGGGCATATAACCTGAGAAAATGTATCAAATAAAATGTTAGATTCAACTGAGTAAGAAGAAACACTTCCTGCAATCTGTAAAAGAGTCTATAGGACAAGCATATTTAAAGCAGTTACGCATTATTTTAGGTCAGTACAAACTGCCAATATAAACATTGTCTGGATTTTTTTACTACAGATAGTCCCTGGGCAAAAAATCGATCCGAGCTAAATTTTATGAGTATGTATTCCAAATTGTTTTGTGCATACTAATAAGTTAGCACGAAAAAAAGAGTGTAGTCGTCCTTCGAATTCGATAGTGAACCGGGACCCGGAAAACATTTGAAGTAGGTATAATACTACCTGTATTCCGCCTCATTCGAAAACCGGATGACGTGTACATATTTCGTAATGAAGTACATACTAGTGGAGAATATTTATAGTTGAGGTAGATGGTCTTGGTTGCATTGTGTTCTCTGATCTGGGTTGCTTCATCGTGGAATTTTTATCGTCTTTCTGGACGACATCATCAGCACTAACTTCAGTATGAAGTGAGCTGTCAATATCTCTCCGTGAGTGATTTGGTAGCTTGCCCTGATGAAGCGATTTGTGATTGGTTGTTTCGTTTGATTGTTGTGTCGTTGATTGCATAGACTTTCCCGGTTGACTGTTTCTCTGTCTAACCTCTGATCTTGCAGTTATTTATCTTTTTTTTTCTATTAGTTGAAAGACTAGGTCTGTGTCTATACATCCGTTGATTGCTGACTGATCTGAATGCCAAGCTTGTAGGAATTCTCTGATATTCTTTGTATTTCCTCTCTCCGTCCAAAATCTCTACATTGTCGAGATTGAATTCATGTCCATAATCATCCAGGTGCATTGAAATGAGTGGTGAAATGTCCTGACGTTTAATAACTAATTGGTGTTCATGTAGACGAAGGCGAAGAGGGCGGCCACTTTGTCCAATGTACTGTTGACTACGGTTGATTTTGTAAATGATATTCGGTTTGTCTTCTTTGGTCTGCATAATAGTGTTTGGAGGGAATTTGTTGGTTTATGAGCCACACCAATTCCGAGTGATCTCAGTAATCTTGTCAGGATTTCCGATATATTCTTTATATACAGTAGGATGATGCGTGTTTGTTTCTGTCGATGACTTTGTAGTTGATGATGTACGGGATAGGCATCTTTTGATAAATGTTTGCGGGTAGCCGTCCTTCTTTAGGATGGATATGAAGTTTCTTCGTGAAGTTGTTGCACCGCAGTGTGTTCTCGCTCTTTTGAATAGAGTCTGCACGCAACTAGTTTTGTGCGTTGTTGCTATTGAAGTTGAGAATTTGATCAGTGTGTCTTGTCTTCCGGTACACTTGGGCCTCCGGGATTTGTCCTACTGACTAAAACATCCAGGAATGGTGGTTGGTTGTTTGACTCTTCCATTGTGAATTTGACGTCATTGAAAACGATCAAATTTTGAGTGTTTTCTATATCATCTTTTTTAATGACGATAAAAGTGTGGTCCGCAAAGCGAATCTAAAATTTTGGTTTAGTCACAGGTAGAATGATGGCTTCCAGTCTCTTCATCACTGCTTCTGCAATTAGTCCGGATATCGGCGATCCCACTGAAATTTCCTTTCATCTGTTTGTATATCTTGCCAATGAATTGAAAGTATGCCGTTAGACAAAAGTTGATGAGTTCCATCAGACTTGAACATTTAAGTTTTGTGAGTTCTGAAAAGTTTCTGTCTTCATTGAGCAGGAGGGACACAGTTTCCTTGGCCAGTTGGGGTTCGATGGATGCGTATACTGCTGTGATATCGATATCCCCAAGCCGGACGTCGGTTCCCTTAAGGATACAGTTACGTCTTGTTGACGAGTGCCAACAAATATGAAAACTAAGTCAAGCACAGCTTTCCAGCGACTGCCTCTAATCAAATAACATCAAAGTGCATTGTAATGGTGAGCCTCTAATTGCTGTCCTAACGACATGGGAGAATCAAGATTTTTTTCTTCGCTGATTTTAGTGCAACCAGTAGTATTTGTACTAACTACTGCTTTTCACAATACCTTTCATTTACATTGTTCACAGTAGTTTTATCTCAGCGATACACAGGGTAAAAATAGCCAAGCAAGTATCAGATATGATTACGCTAATTGTCTGAATTTCGGCCGGTCGTATGCGTGTAGGCTGCTTCGGTGGAGTACTCAAGATGATAGAGATCAGTGGTCAGAAACTCTTAATGATATGGCTGAAAATCGACCATAGATGTATATATTCCTTATCATTTTCGAAATTTTGAATGTTTGTATGAACCTTATTCTTTCCCTCCTCATACAATTTTGTCTTCCTTTATGTCATTCTTTTGCTTTCCACTGCGTCTTAGCATGTTGGCATGAAGTGTGGCAACTTGAACCTATGTACTTTTATACCACGTTATGTGTTAATTTGTTTGTTTCTCGTTTGGTTAGTACTTTCAGTAGTTGTCAGGGTAAATGAGTGGCAGTAAGCGATGGGAGCATCTTTGTACATAGGTGCACGCCACAAATTCTAAAACACTAGCCTATGCAGAAAATCAAGCTGCGTAGGTGATTCTACGTATTATGAATATCTCGAAACAAGGTGGTTGCATAACTATTTAAATGGATAAATATTGATGTTTGAAGTAATAGGTGGTTATTTCAAAACTCAGTGGGAACGTCATTCATTGGTTTTTCAAATATATCTGGCTATTAAGTCCTAAATAGCATGAAATATTCTTCCAAGACTATCTTGCTAAACACTATTAAAAGGTTTAATAAAATATTCATACTTCTATGCGTGTTAGGTGATATGCCCTGCGTTTATAATTAGTCGACAGAAAATACCTAAATCTGGTATGATGTGTGGGTCTACGAAAATATCGATAAAACTTGAAGGTCTAAAGTGACCACATTAATATCGAGAAATCGGATCGAAATACACTCAGCAACTTTGTTCACATCTGTGCAGTAGGAAATCAGACACACCTTTTGTGTGAGGGCTAATGATACTACTTGGCTGCCCAAACATCGGTAGGTGGGGTGGGACTCGAGCCCATGACCAGTGAGCTACAATTTAGGCCTTTTACAGAGAATTAACTTCAATTACAGTGAGGCAATATACTTCATAAGCACACATATACTACCTTGAAAAAGAACAACATAAAAATGGCACAATTACCTTGATCAATAGGAGTATCGCCATCAATGCAGGATTTAATATTGTTGTGAAACAGAATGTTGATCGTGGATCAAAACTAAAGTTTGTAAAACAATATTAGTTGTTGATACATAAACACTGAGAAACAGAGGCAAGCAATCATCTGTTAAATCAAAATACATATACTTCAAAAATTACAACAGATGGGACTACATTCAGGTATTATTATTCATCTAATCTACTGTGAATATACCTACTAAAATTTCTAAAACAAACTCGCAATATTTTTTGGTGACATTTAACTAGGAAAGAAGTTTCGATTATAATCAGCAAGATTGCTACCTGATATTTGTATATGAACAAGCTGACAGAAGAGGCAACGAAAACGGAACTTCAAGTGAACGTAAAGGAGACAGTGGTGGTGAAGAAACCCAACTAATAACAACATCAACAAGCACCAATCACCATCGACAGGAGAAATCTAAAGGAAGTTGTCTCTTCCACCAACCTACCTAGACAGCATCGTTTCAACTACAAGAGGTGGCACAGGCACAGATGAGGATGTCAAAGCAGCCAGGATCAGAAAGACAGCAAAACAGGCCTCCATTAATCTGAAATCAGTGTAGAGATCTACTACACTCAGCATGTGGAGCAGGATCCGGATTTTCAACACCAATTCAGTCAAGTCAGTGCTTCTATGTGACGGTTGAGAGACTTAACGCGTCACGAAAAGCATTTCCAACAGACTACAGACATACATTGCATCAACGGCTGTCGTCTACGCTCACTCGATACTCAAGATCAGGTCAGATGGCCAGAATAATAAGAATAAGCAGGGAGGAACTCTGGCCTACCAACGAACCAACCAAGAAACCATCGCCCAACGAATATGCAGAAGAAGAAAGTGGAGAAGACTGATTGGAGACATCACGCACCAGGCCAGGCCATGGAGTAAAAGCCGAATGGCAAACGACGAGTTTGGCGTCCTTGTGTGAGATTGAGGAGATCTTGTGGGGTGTAAATGAAAGCTTGTGGGGAGTCGTGGAGCCAGGTTAAATAGACTGGAGAGAAGAGTGTGAAATGGACAAATAACAGTAATAATAATAATAATAATGCCAAAAATTTAACGTGTGTACACGACCTATGACTTCCAACCTATAAGTCAGATGTCATAAGGGTTCACGTAACCAAATAGTTTATTTTGTTTCCTCTGTTACCACCTATGGCTTGTCACCCGGTTGCTTGAATGTAATCAAATTAGAAATATCCCAGTATTAGAAAACATACATACAGTTTCAGTTTACTTGGTTTTTAGTGGTGGGATCCATGAGTTATATTTCATCTTACTTGGGACTCGTCAACTGTATTTACCTGCATTCCAGTGAGTGTTGGTGTCCGCACTCAGATTCGAATTTAGTATCCATCGCTTTACACACCAAAGCGTTATCGACTAGGTCACTGATGTACGAGGGCCATCTTAGAGGGAACACTATCACTCATTGAGGTCCGGGTACATCCAGATGACGAGTACCGGATAGGATGAAACGTGCATCCTCGATTTCACCACTGGCCACCTAGTACACTAAAACATGATTATTCAGGCACTATCAAGGTATACGCACAAAAGCCCATATGCCAACAATGGTCGTACGATTTGATCTAGTACACCAACAGGAAGTTACAAGTGTCAAAAAATAATCCATATGCTCATTATGATTTTTAAGACGAATGTTCAATATGAAGAAACTGTCTTATTCACTTCAAAATATGTAACCGTCCAGCTGCTACTGATTAAGATAACCGATTTTGAGGATTTTCACAATCAGTTATATGACTGAATAAGTTAATGTAGAAATCCTCAAGGAGAGGAAAAATTAGAACGTTAATATTTTCACGATCAGATAAAAATTTAAACAGCGAATAGATTTGCTCAAAAATTTCCATAAAACATTATTTATTCTGTTATACATTTCAAATTATCGTTTTCACCCTTTTTTTCGCCACGATCAGTAGTTTAATTTACCGTAAGTACTGATTGGTTGACTGGCTACTTTTGATATATTAATTTCTCTAATTATGAGTACGGTTAAATGTCATGTAGGTATACATAAGTGTTTTGGATTATTACCATTCTTCTGTGAGGTAATAAAGGTCCTAACTCAGATCAATCTTTTTTCTCTCTCCGTTTCGTCTGACGTGTTGGGGTCGATGGTAGCCGGCGTACGAATTAGCCGTTAATTAGCAGCATGAGTACTATCTAATAATCACGAACATAACAGCACTATTGGTATCAGCTTCCTCTATAAGTATTGTTATATTATTTAATCCGATGCATTTCTTTATAACTGTTAGACTATACTTTTGTCCAAAAATATACTACTACTGAACAAATTGAGTAGTTAGGATACAATCATGTTGATCTGTGAATTTCGCCAGAAAGCCAGTTCAGAGTGATCTAAACACCGGACGGCTGTTTCACTTGTTTGGGGTCGAGCTGGTTTATTACCAGTGTACCCGGACATATTCAACTCATAGAATGAAATTAGTTCTGATCATCAGTAAAAAGATATTTCGCCAGTTCAAGAGACTTTTGTGTTAAAGATCAAACGTTATGATCTTGGCTGTGGGATGGTTTTCAACGGAAACGTTGTTGACACCACAGTTTAGCAGTGGAAATACTACTCAGTTGTGAGAAATGTCAACGCAAACCGCGAAATCTGTAAGTTCATCATCTTATTTTTCCAACGTTATTTTTCTCTAGAACGTTCATTTATATTACAAGGTGAAACAATAATTATATATATATATATATATATATATATATATATATATATATATATATATATATATATATATATATATATATATATATATATATATATATATATATATATATTCCACTCACCTATTCACACTTGCGATATTCCCAGTACCGAAGAATGAAATCGTCAAGAGGAATATCTGTATTGCATACATAGCAGATAGTTAAGGAAATAGCTAGAGTATAAAAATAATGAATAAACTCATCGAAAAAAAATTGCAGGAAGTTGTAATTGGTATTGTATTAGGTCCCAAAGATCATATGAGTGGATGGATAATACTAAAAACCAGATGAATTGTAATTATTAGAACAAAAATGTTTATACACAACAGGCAGACACTACATGATAGAGTAACCAGGGGGAATTTGTACTTTACTGTAGACGCTAATTACTACCGGTTACAGACGTATCTCCAAGGGTTATATGGACACTTTTGTGAGTTTCTACAGAAATCCTTTTTATCAAACTAGTCGGCTTGTGGAAAATACTCCATCAAATTAATAGTTACAGTGATGGTACAATGATAGACTCTTAAGTTAATTGTATTTCCATATGAATAAACAGTATTTAAAACTTTGGTAATAAGCTAAGAATGGAATTTCTTATAAGTGATAAGCGTTAAGATGCATTGATACTGAATTGCTTAGGCTTTAAAAAGAACCAGTAGAAACTAAGAAGGAAAATAAAGTAGGTGACAGAAACTTGCGAAATAACTTAGTAAGTCTTTATTACCATAGGATTAAAGTCCAAGCCGTTTTAGTCTTATGAAACGGTCAAGGTTGATTTCCACTTCAGATTGTATGAAGTTGAATGTGAAACACAATGAATTTGATTTGCAAATGATTCAGAAAACTAATTGATGTCAGTCATTAAAATTCAAACAGAACTGAACACTAGTTTTGTCCTACATTAGAAGTTCTCATCAATCAACTATTATAAGATTGTTATTATTAGATTGAGCAGTTGTAGGATGTTCAGTTTTCTCACTCTCTTCATTTTAGCAAGTAATATTGTTTAGAAGTTAGCTAACCCTGCAGTTTAATTGACTTTAAGTAATAGGAATCATAACAATGACAGTAATATGTTGGAACTGTATCAATGGAGATTTTAAACATTTTTTTTTTTATTTGGGTTCCTAATGGAACAGCATGTCTCCTTTGCACTCTTTCTTCTGCAGTCTCCTTAACCTGACTGCACGACTCCCCACAAGCTTTCATTTACACCCCACAAGATCTCCTCAATCTCACACAAGGACGCCAAACTCGTCGTTTGCCATTCGGCTTTTACTCCATGGCCTGGCCTGGTGCGTGATGTCTCCAATCAGTCTTCTCCACTTTCTTCTTCTGCATATTCGTTGGGCGATGGTTTCTTGGTTGGTTCGTTGGTAGGCCAGAGTTCCTCCCTGCTTATTCTTATTATTCTGGCCATCTGACCTGATCTTGAGTATCGAGTGAGCGTAGACGACAGCCGTTGATGCAATGTATGTCTGTAGTTTGTTGGAAATGCTTTTCGTGACGCGTTAAGTCTCTCAACCGTCACATAGAAGCACTGACTTGACTGAATTGGTGTTGAAAATCCGGATCCTGCTCCACATGCTGAGTGTAGTAGATCTCTACACTGATTTCAGATTAATGGAGGCCTGTTTTGCTGTCTTTCTGATCCTGGCTGCTTTGACATCCTCATCTGTGCCTGTGCCACCTCTTGTAGTTGAAACGATGCTGTCTAGGTAGGTTGGTGGAAGAGACAACTTCCTTTAGATTTCTCCTGTCGATGGTGATTGGTGCTTGTTGATGTTGTTATTAGTTGGGTTTCTTCACCACCACTGTCTCCTTTACGTTCACTTGAAGTTCCGTTTTCATTGCCTCTTCTATCATCTTGTTGGTTTTGGCCTGTAGATCTTCGAGTTTGTGCGACATAAGACAGACATAAATGATCATCGGCGAAATCCAGATGTTCCGTGGTCTTTCCATCGGTCAAATAGCATATGGCCCTGTACTGGCTCGTTACTGTTTTTTGCATGATCCAGTCCAGTCCAGTCGACCACAATCAAGATCACCGGTGACGAGGGAGATTTTAGTTGGTCAAAATGAAAACAGTCGTTACAATTGTCCAGAATTGAGAAGCATGAAATTTAATGCGATCGTATTCATGTTTATAAAGGAGAAGTCATTCTACGCAACGTGTAAAAGGACTAACTACAGGAAATTAGTTCGGCGGTGATTAGAATTTAGTTCTGTTACAAAAAGAAATCATACTCTCGTCTTTACTACTTAAAGCTTTAGTGGAATTGACTGATCATTTCCTTATTTTGAGGTTTATGGAGATTTTTATTTATTACAAGGAAAACCGTTGAAAACCTGGGAGCACTGGATAGCTGTTTCGTCCCAGTATGCTACTTATCAGCAGTACACACTCACAACGAATCAAATTCAGGACCCTCAGGTTTCACGGAGGACGCCTTAATCATTCAGCCACCTGGTCGCAGTTCAGTGTCTTACAGTTTTATACTTCTTTCAATTCGCGACTATCCGTAAAGGTCTTCAGTTGGTATTGGCTTCAATTCCAACTGGTTGATCACATAGGTCACACCTTCTCATTAGAAATTCAGGATGTCAATCTTGAAGTATGTCACTAATGAGCATTATGAAGGAATGTAGTTTGAGGTTTATGGGGATTTTATTTATTCCAAGGCAGTATTCATCATATACTGACATGAGCTTTTTTCATATTTTGATCCACCTCGAGCCTTTCTAAATGCATAAAGTAACTTCTATATTATATTTCCCATTCTAAATGCTTGTTGAACATTAAGAATATCATGGAACTACTAGCAACAGTGAGTTAGTTCAATTTATCAGTGAGGAAAAGGGCAGGAAAATAATTTTTGAAATGAAGAAATACGATATGGGCAGAGGGATCTTTACAGAATGATTGAAGAGTAATAGATCCGTACTAATTTAAAGTTCCAAGTTGGTACTTATTAAAGATTAACATAAGTTGGAGAAACAATGGAAGCCTGGGAGCATTAGACAGCTGTTTCGTCCTGGCATGGGACTCCTCAGCAGTGCGTACCCATGAACCCACCCCGCCAGGGGTCGAACCCAGCAGCCAGTACGTCACCATTGGGTAGGAATCTAATAGTCCATATTTCCTACTTTTGTCAGTTCACGATATAGCGCGACCATCACCCAATGTCATCGTTGAGTACTTGTCCTCACGGCCACTAGGTTCACCCCACTGGTCACGACTTCTCATTGGAACTTCAGGGATGACTTCTCGAAGTTTGTCAGTCATCAATGAGCACTAGATTAAATTTGGGCGTTTTTTGTGGGGATGTTTCTCCAACTGATGTCAATCTATAATAAATAACAACCTGCAAATTAATAAATTCTCAGAAAAACCCAAAATAATTTAAAATTGTTGAAAATATAAATTGTTCAAAATGAGAGATTTTAATGAATTAAACGATACTATTTGTATCAAATCTACTTATTAGTAGTACTAATTAAACTAAGTACATGCTTACTGTAAACACCATTTTATGCTTAGGATCAAAACTGATAGCACATATAATAAGGATACAAAGAATAGTGACTGACGAAAATTCTTCAAATGAAGTAGGTTCCTGCTATGTTGTACGTACTTATATTCAATAGTTGGAGTGTTATTGTCAGTTGATGTCTCAAGATCCCAAACCTGTTGATAATTATGCAAGAAATAAGCTGATAAATAAACAAATCTAATAGCATAATCAAGGTGAAATTTTTCAATCACTTAATGACTGTAACATATGAAGCTATTGTGTTACTCAATACTATAACTCCTATAATTATATCGAAAAGTATACCAAAGTTCTGAAATTATATTTCATTATAATGTGTATTTGACTTTCAGTAAGAAAGTTACACGTCCAAATCCTGCTATACCTAACGACATTATACATGTTAACAGTAGCAGAGTAGATGTAATTGCATCAGTCTGCATACTGTTTCCGAGTTATAGTTTCCATGTTTTTAATTTTTCTAGTTTTATGGATAACAGAGATCTCTATAAAATGATCGATAAAATTCCGTCAGAACTCAGGATTAAGACAACATTAAATTCGTTACTTTCAAACAATCAATCACTGTATCTACTCCTACATTATAAGAGGTTATTCACAGCTCGACTAGCTGAGTGTTAACATCGCTGACTACACCATTTAGTATGAATCTGCCAGGAGACATCAGTTCCTTCAAGTTTGCAGACACGCTTTGCTGACGAGTGTCAACAAACATGAAACTTAGATTTACTGTTTTCTCCCCATTACCTCCAACCGGATTACAGATTTTTTATTCGCCATATACTTTCATGCATACAAATGACCAGAGATAGACTTAACCCAGTTATTTTGATATTGTGTTCTTTGAGGTGATTGATTCAATCATAGAGCTTTCATCGTCGTTCTAAACACCATAATCAACACAAACTTTAGTTATGTTTAGGATGGGTCTACTATAAATCATAATGAAGGATAGGTACGTTAAAGTGAAGAGAAATTGAAACTCACTTTCAATCTTGATTCTTTTGATTCAGTTTCCATATAGAGCCACAGATACGTGATAGTAGCAAACACAACGAAGAATGAAACTTCATAACTTGATGGTATTAGCACAGAGTTAAAGAAGCTATGCAATAAACACTCTAATAGTTAACGTTTAGGAAGTATGATAATGCAACTATCTCCTTACACTGAGGCAGAGATTGAAAAAAAACATAAATATACCCTATCCGTAGAGCACTTTACCTAGTATAAAGACCGTTAATCTAGAATAGTACTTCCTTAATCATTATTGAATCATTTCCTTCTATCTGCTACTGACGATACTGAATATCTTGTAATAATTGATGTACGAAAAAAAGTGAATTGAAGATGTAAGAGCATGATTCCTCTTGAACTCAGTAACATTCAAAAGAAGCGGTATATTTAATTTGAGGGTTTGTGGGGATTTAATGACTTTTCAAGTTGGTATTCATCATGGATTGATATCAGATGGAGCATTAGACAGCTGTTTCGTCCCGGTATTGGACTTCTCAGCAGCGCGCACCCATAACCCCACCCTGCCAGAGATCGAACCCAGCAGCCAACACGTTAGCACTGAGTCACTGGGTTGAAATCTAATGGTCCATAGTTCCTAATTCTTTCAGTTCATGACATAGCGTGACCATCAACCAATGTCATCGTTGAGTATTTTTTCTTACAGCCACCAACTTGAGAAATCACTGAATCCCCACAAATTCCTGAATTAAATTGATCTACTGCTCATTGGCGACTAGCTTCAAGAGGTAATTCCTGAAGTTCCAATGAGAAGTCGTGATCGGTGGGGTAAACTGAGTGAGTGCTCCCAGGTTTGCAATGTTCATCCAATTGATGTCGGTCCATGATGAATACCAACTAGAAAAAGCGGTATAGTATTCCTTCTACAGTTCGAACCTCTTTTTGTATTAGCTATTAATACGCTTAGTAAAGTACTCAAATAAAACTATAATTTGGTTATTTATTATTCTGCTCACCCTTTCAAAATAGTCAACGTCCAAACACACAATTCTGATGAAGTATCTCAGAAGGGATAGAGCACTCAGTGATCGGATAGGATGAATAGTGTTATAGAGAGTTTCACTTTTCTCCGTAATGTTTGACATTACCAGTCAGTTACAGACAAAAGCGGTTATATAGTGATCTACTTAATGGTTAGCAGCGGAATTCAGGACGCGGGTTTCATCCTATTCAGTACTCGTTGGCTGGACATATTTGGGCCCAGTGAGTGATATTATTTCCACTAAGACTCAAACCCAGTGTGTTCTGATTCAAACGCTAAAGCGTTATTGCTTAGTCCATTGGAGCACGACAGCCAAAACTTGCGCAACGGGTATCACTTATTGTTTATTGATACTAGCCACCAGTTAGGCTACAATATAAGGATTATCCGGGCAGTAATCCGTGCATCCACATAGGAGCCCATCAGCCAACAGAGGTTGAGCAATTCGACGCAGTATAGTAACAGGGAATTACAAGTATCAAGAAACAACAACTGGTGCCTGTTGCACAAGCAGTAGCTCTCATGCCCCAGTGGCTAGTGGATAGGGCATTAGCGTTTGAAGCGATGGGCAGTTAGTTAGAGTCTCAGTGGGAACATCACTTTTGGGGTTAAGGTCCATGTAGCTGATGAGTCCCAAATAGGAAGGATCACGCGTCCTGGATTCCACTGTCAGTCAACAAGTAAACTAGAAAACCGGTTATAGTCTACAGTATACAGTAGTTCATATATGGGAATAATTTAAGAGTTTTGACAGGAGGGTAAACACAATATGCAAATTTGTCATCATCAAACAGACGTCAACTAGTCAACTTTCATCAGCGTGTTTTATTTACGCATATAGGTGATAGAAAGTCATTTCGATAACTCAATGAATTCTCTATAGGGAAGATCATATATACATTTAGCAGATTTCTTTTTTAATGTGTACTCTTTTTACTTCCAGACTTAAAAACGCATCTCCGTTGTTGAAGTTGAAAAAAAGAAGTAAAAAGGTTATCAATGGCAAAAGTTCTAACAAACTTCAGAGACACTCAATGGAATAGGTTGTACTACTGAATCAGATATTCAATTTTGTAAAAATAATTCTTTTAGGAAATTGTTGTCGACCGTACGATGAATAGTACCAGTATTTATATATCGCTTCGACAGATTTGAATAAAACAATACAGAGAGGAAACGTAAAATAAAATGATGATTTCAACCACATCAAGAAATAATCTGTTAATTATTTGATGTTTTTCGAGTGTTGAGGCTTGTTCTTGGAAGTTTCATCGCCAGGCTAAGGGACTTTATCAAGAAAAATCTCAAAGAACAGCAAATAGTTATTATCCCAATCCTGAGCTACAAACGTTATCTACTATCTCAAAGACTTAGTAATCTGGTTGGTTGGTTGGTTGGAGGCGATCGGCAGAAAGTTCTGGACTTAAGATTCATGCTTATTGGCACTCGTCAGCGAGGCATATCTGCAACCTTGACGGGACTGATGCTCCGCCAGGGATCCAGACCGGCATCACCCAGGGTCGTGGTCAGCGAAGTTACCACTGAGCCATTCGGGTAGCGACTATCCTCCTGTAGGACCCGGTTACACATACTGATTGGTCAAGGGAGAGCGACCAATTTTATGTTGGCTAATCATGAGTGCAGACCGAATTCTGTCGATTATATGTGCAATGTTGCCACCAAATTAGGAGGCTCAGCATTAGGGTTACAGATGAATAAAAATAAATTAATGAACTTCGAATCTAGGAAGTAGACTATTTGACGGGAAAAAAAAGGTGAAGCGATAACATATGACCAAAACTTTTAACTACCAATGAAACTATCCACGGTAGTTATGGTTTGGCAGACTGGTATTATTCCTACGGGTGATGACTGAAGGTGAAATGGGAATCTGAGTCGCGGCAAGATTAGAACCAGCGACTTCCGGGTTAGCGGCCTGGTTATGTACCAAATGATCTACGAAGGTGAATTTCGCTTCAATCCGTGATAGGTAGCTCTGCATTCATGTCAGTCACATAGGCTTCCCAGTCAGTTCTTTTGAAAGCTTGACTTCTGATACTATATTTCAATTTAACGTCCCAAATTACTCCACTTTTTTCGCTAAGAGATTATAAACTGCACAATTTTCTATTCATTCCCAACAAATTATACCATATAAAGATTTTCACTTATTTTACAAAGTTTGTTTCTTTTTCATATTTTTTCTTCTGATATTCATCTGGTGGATGATAAAAGGGACGGATTCTACCAAAAGCTGTTAATTTTGCTGCAAAGAGCAAAATGTTCGGATATATTCATAGTAGTAAGTGACTTCAACACTTAATTAGAAAAGCTGGACCAGTCCCTAAGCCATCTTGGAGGTACCTATGCTAACAAATCGACAACGGTGACCACATCTTATAATTTTGTCCTGATAATCACCTGTTTCTGGTCAGCAATAACTTAAAGCGTAAATACAGACAGTCTCCTTAGGGTGCCACCAAAATCAAACCAAAGATGCACCCGTACAGATCATATTTGTACTACCCATCGTTGGAGAAGATCGATTAAGGACTGACGCTATTTCTGAAGTACCTGTTTGGACTCCGATTAGACGATAGTGTGACACGTGTATGTTTGCTCCTAACTGATTGCGGAAAACAGATAGTAAGTGAAACCTATGTGTAGTCGACGAGATGAGAACGTCAAGTGAGCAGTCAAGAAGGAGATAGCGAAGCATTTATCCAAACATGACAACAACCCTATTCCTCATGAAACCTAGGGTGATATATCCGGTCTGCTGTAAAAAAACAGTGATGACAGTTGTTAACCTGAATCCAAAGCTTAGGAGAAGCCAATACATTTCTACCATCTCGTTCAAACTGATTAATACGAAAAAAATTCATCTCAACGGGCGGTGATCACAACGAGAAACGAAGGTAACGTAAATGACAGAGTTCCTACAGTGACCGCGACGAGTAGCAGGTAGGAAAAAAGTTTGAGAAGACATCAGCATTAGCTACTACCCGGTAGTCTTTTAGGCTTATTAAGGATACTGGCAAAAAGCGATGGTAAGTGAAACCATCATCTTGATAATCTATCAGGACAGGCATCTAAAATGTTGTGTGGAACAGTTTAACTAGCTTACAGCCTTGCTTTAGTTGCCCAGCATCTTGCATGAATCTGAGTCGGGGATAGATGTCGGTGCCCCCAACACTCCTTGAAGTTCAGAAGGCTGTTTCAAAGCTGAAAGACGCACATGATACGGGGGTACTATGTCGCCTATGGAAACCAGAGGTAGTCCCGTCAAACTAGTTTAATTTGCCGATCATTTCAGTTCATACAAAGAGAAGACTTCTTGAGGCAACCACAGTAGTTAAAGCTCCTAATAGGTTTAACTGTATGACAATTCATATGTATTTCCTCTATATTTGAGTGATAAAACACCAACTCAGTTTATACAAACGGACAGACTCGTACTACGCCATTGGTTTAAAAATCAACTCGCTTTTAAATTGGAATCAAAGTTTAAACATGCTAAAACATGTTTTCATATGTCTAATCAATAAAACGTTGTTGATAATCTAAAGAAATTGGAATGTCATTCTTTCTCAAGAAGCACTTACTTGGTGTTTCTTTGAATAAAAATGGTTAGTCGAATAAGTGGTGTGATGTCAAAATTGATGCGCGTTTATATGAACACAGCTATCAAAATCTGCCACTTGACTGTGGTTAGCTATATCAACTTTACGAAACGTAGCACAACAGAACAACATGGTGGTGTTTCCCAGAGTGATTTCATTGTTTCACTGTCTAAAGACCGGCAATTAGTTAGTAGTATTCATCACGGACTGACATCAGTTGGGGAACCATTGAAAATCTGGGAGCACTGGACAGCTGTTTCGTCCTAATATGGAACTTCTCGGCAGAATGCACCCACGACCCGGCTAGGGATATCACGAAGCTCTAATGAGAAACCATGACCTGTGGAGTGGTCAACCAGTCGGAGGTGAAGCAGATACCAACTGAAGACCTTGAGTGATAGTCGCGCTATATCGTGAATTAAGAGAAGTTGGAAACTGTGAACTTTTGAACTCCGACCCGTTCGCTGAATGGTTAACACGTTCGCCGTGAAATCTGAGGGTCTTGAGTTCGATTCCTAGCCAGGTCGTGGGTGCGTACTGTCAAGGAGTCCCGTACTAGCACGGAACAGCTGTCCAGTGCTCCCAGATTTTCAATGGTTCCCCAACTGATGTCAGTCCATGATGAATACTGCTTCTAAATTAAAAATCCCCATTCATCTCAAAGATAATACTATCTGTTTGTTGAAGTCATGACACCAAGAGTGAATTTGTCGTTCAAATACTGAAGTCACGGTACAGTTACTATTCCATCGATGAAACCAAAAACAATTTTGAAAAAAAGGATACTAAGTGCTCATCAGGATTAATGGGACAAGGTAAACAACTGTCCAGCTAATCACTCGAGGTCCAAGTCGTGTCGGAACAAGCAGAATAACTGAAAAGGGAAGAAGTACTAAAACAACAAAAAACAAGAACAAAAAGAATAATCTCATTAGTTGGTAGTAATGTACACAAACTGTATATAAATAAATAAAACACCCTGAATTATATTCATTAGGTAAACACTTCATAGAAAACAAACTCATATTTCATCAAGGATTTAAGTTGATATACTAGTGACAAAATTGTTTAGAGTAAGTGAAGTAGTTGCAGATATGTAGGTGAATACCACTATTTAAATCTATAATGAAATTCTTAACGGAAAAATTGTGAAACTACTTTGAAAGACCTTCGTATCTTCAAGAGTAAACCAGAGTCTTACGACCAAGTTTGATTATTCACTTCCAAGGTTTGTGGGGAGTGATCGATCTCAAGGTAGTATTCATCATGAACCGACATCAGCTGGAGAACTATTGAGAACTTGGGGGCAATGGATAGTTGTTTCGTCATAATGTGGGACACCTTAACCTTGATTACTACTGATAATTTAGAGTTTAATTACCTGCACCTTCATAAGTTAATCAATAAGCTTGTCTGAATATCAGCTTGTTATTCATATTTTTAAGATATAACTTTTTAATTTGCTGTTAGGTGAAAACGCTGACATGATGCAGAGTCTTCTGGACACTGAGTGACAATTTGGGTTGCGTTTTCCACCACCTAAATGCGAACTGTTGCTCCAGGATTGGTCTAACAATAGAGAGCGTATTGGTTGTGTGTCGACCACTTCACTTACCTGGGAAGTAGGATCAGTCCTGGTGGTTCCGTGGCCGATGAAATTTCTACATGGATACAAAAGGCTCGATTGGCTTTCGCCAACTTACGCCTTCGGTGACGCCGCCGTGATATCCGACTGTCTATTAAGAGTCGTGTGTACTGCACAGCCGTCCGCTCTGTTCTACTCTATGGCTGCGAAACATGGCCGCCATTGAAGGTGAAAGACATGAGAAGGCTGGCTTCAGGTGTTTGACCACCGATGCCTTCGCAGTATAGGCCGTATTCTGTGGTGTCACCATGTGAATAAAGCAGAAGTCAGGAGTAGAGTTTTAGGGAGGAGAGGTGAGTCAGTTGACACAGTCGTGAACCTTTATCGACTGACATTGCTGATTGGGACACATGTTACGTATGCCTAGTCACCGCTTGCCTCGTCACACAATGTTGGCCGAAGTAGGTGGTTCAGGCTGGAAAAAGGCTCGAGGTGGCCAGACTAAAACATAGCACCAATGCATGAAGTCTTTGACTGTTGGTTTGAGCCATGTGGGGCAATATAGACTAGCCGGTTAGGTTCCAAGGGACAAGAGGAACCAGTGATTGGAGAATCTAGGTGATAAGGCTGGGAACCGATGTCAGTGGCGCAAACACATAGATACACTGTCCTCATCTTAACGACGCTATACCGAATCTCACTATTTTCTCATTCTTCCTTTCTCTCTCTTCGTGCTTTATATTTCTTTTGACTGAGTTTTCTTTTCTTCATCTTCCACTTCACTGACTTTTTACTTCATGTATTGATATGAGCTGTAGCAACTCGGACCGTTATGCGGTTATGCCTGGTCCTTTGTTGATTTGGATGATGACGATTTTTATTTGCTGTATTTTACAAAACAGGTGAGTGTAATGAAAATGATGAAGCTGTGGGTTCTTGAGTCACAATATCTTCCCAGATTGTGCATAGTTTTGAGAGGAATTCTGAAGAGACAATGTTTAAGTTGCATATTAGTTTCCAGTAAGGCAAGCAAATTGATGCGAAAAGTTGTAACCTTGAGGTGATTGATTGCCTGGGAAAATATAAGATAGTCTTCAGTCATTTCTTATTTCAACGTACGATTTGTTTTAAAGTAAGAAGAGGGTTGAAGAAGTCTCAAAGTAGTTATGCCAAAGAAGAACTTAGGAGGTTGGTGATATGACCGGTAGTACGTTCTAACACTCTACGAGCAATACAAGCCTTGCAGACTACAAACGATACGAACCTAACGCAAATCAGAACGTCCACCACCGTCATAACAATAACACCGACGCGCGAAGACAGACCGTTGACAAAGAGCACTTTACTGCCTAAACAACAGTCAATACAGTTGACAGCGATGCTGAATATATACATTTCTGGATGACCTTGACAACACTGAATTCACAAATAGTTAACAACCAATGAGAGTTCAACCTTGAGAACAGAGGAAAGAAAAATTAGTAACGGTGTAGGTTATTTTAAAGGCTATGGGCAAAACAACAGGCGAAATTAGGGGTATATAGCAGTTGGTCAAGAGAAGGTTAAGTCCTCTGAATCGAGACCTGTATACGTATACAGTAGTATCATGAAGTTGATCCAAGTGAAACAAAAGCAGTGACTATTTCCCTCGTTTTCAACACATTGAAGCTTTTGCTCTTGCAAAGCTAATTATTTTTAATCATGCTCTGCAGTTTTTCAAAATCACATTTATCCTTTTTATATTCACGTGTTGATTTCCCTTCTGTTGTGTTGTTCTAGGATGTTGTAACTTAGAGTGAAACATCACTATACTCCTATTCTGTTTGGTCCCAGTAAATTCGTCATACATATATTTGCTCGTTTTAAAAAATATATCAATAACTAACACAACAAAAAGCATTAATCTATGGAAAACAAAACGTGTTCCAGTTGCATTTAAAGTAATAATGAAGTCGACCAATTCAAGTATATTATACCAAGAATATTAGTAAACTTGCCTTCTTAGTAGTTCTAAAAGTTCAGCTACCTTTTGGAGATATGATAATAAGGGAAACTAGCTATATCTACGATAGGATGAAGTGGCATTCATTTAAAGCCGGAAACAAGTCATAAAGCAGGAGAACAATAAATCCAAAGATTCTCTGTCGTACGTATATTTCTGGAGTTCCTAGTGAGCTGGAATTATGAAGTCTGAGGTCTGTGTAAGTCACTCTTCGATCATAATCATGACTGACATAAATTGGAAATATGGACCATTGGATCCCGACCCAGTGGCTCAATGGTAACGTGCTGACCACGGAACCCTAAGGTCGAGCGCGGGTTCGATCCCTGGCGGAGTCGTGGGTGCCCACTACTGAGGAGTCCCATACTAGGACAAAACAGCTGTCCAGTGCTCCGAAGTTTCCTTTTTTCTTTCAAATGATGTCAGTCCACGATGAATACCAATTTGAAAAATCTCTAAATCTCGGCAAAACCCCCCTCCCGAATTCATAATCATTTTGTTGCTTTAGTACTCAGTTTTCCCAAATGCATCATTATCTAACTAAGTATCCAACACTTTGATAACAGAATCTCATCGTTTTAAAGTCAGCATACAAGCGATGGAGCGTAAGTCAAGATAGACGATTCAACGTAGATTTACTAAAACATATGAGCAAGTTTGTAAACACTATGTGATACTACTTTTGAATTCGTTGATTACATCGTTATATTGTTTTACAATGAAAGATAAGATTGTACAACAGCAGAGACGTACCAATCACGGACCAACTAAATACATGAATGATTATTTTCAATGTTCCAGTACGAATAGATGGGAAGCTCATCAAGTAAACAGCGAAACTTGAAAGACAGATAAGAAAACCCTATATACAGAAGAAAATGAGATAAGCAAACACCGTTTGAATAATAGCATTGGAAAATTTAAAATATCCAAAAGAAAATCGGAATCCTCGCCATAACCTTGTGCACATTCATACAGAAGGCAACAAGCCACACCTATTATGTGAAGGTTAGTGAAACTACTTAGCTTCCCAAACCTCGGTAGGTGGAGTTGAGATTGAACACGTGGTCCATAAGTTAGAAATCAAGTACCTAGACTAATGAGCTACCTAGTGAATTTTTATATGGGCAATGCTTCAACTAAACATCATTATTATTCACTGTATAAGTTTAAAGATGAACTGGTCCTATGACCTGAGAATTTTCTTTGAATAAGTTTATATCAACCAACAGAGATGCTCTACTTTTCAATTATGATAGCTCAAAAGGAATACGGATTTTGAACATACTTGAAGTGATATGGATCACGATGCTGCTGAGCAAAGTAAACTTAATTGAATGAGAGGCAGTTTAATCTACAACTAAGATGTTACAGGCAGTTCAGTGATAAGACTAAGTAAACAATACGTAAATATTCCGATTGGTCTCAACTGTGTAAGGAGATATAAACTTTCCGGTTAGGCGAAGTTCACAAGACAGTGAAAAGCGATAATGTGAGATTAAGTTATATAGGCTGAAATATATATCAATAACACAAAAGTAACCCTTTATCTTTCTAAAAACTTTAAACGCCTTATGTTCTTCGCATCATCTTTTTGTAATCTGGTTCTTTACTACACTTAGCAAAATTATTGTCATCCCTTCGATTTTTCCACTGCTGATTTTTTTATAGACGCACTTCTGCTAGGTACAGCGATTTCTTTGGATACTTGCTACCTTAGAAGAAAAGACCTCTCTCTCTCTCTCGCCCTATATATATATATATATATATATATATATATATATATATATATATATATACATATATATACCCTTATTCGTTAATTCAAGCAGCGGAATTTCAACAAGTGGGTTACAGGCTCGATTTCATTCCATACAATGACCTTGAAGTAGCATCTCATCCGACCAATGTGTCTTATAATCATGTACTGAAACATTTATATGATTGTTGAATTACATAAACTAAAAAAATTAACTTTGTCATACTTACGAACAGATATCCAAGCCATTTGTGGAGGCGATTTTGAGAACTGGATACTAGATGAAAGCAGATAACTGTTATTGGTGTAAGAATGAGACCATTTATAAATCTAAAAAGAAAGACAAAGACTAAGTGGAAATATCATTTTTAATGTCTCAGTTGGAGAGAATCGAAATGCTCTCTCTCTTTCAGTAGGTGATGAGTCACACTTATTTTGTGAGGGCTAGTAATACTACCTGGCTATTGAGACCTTAGTAGGGAGGGGGAAGTGTTTGAAACCGTGACCCAATGGTTGAAGCTCAACTCCCCGAACCAATGAGGCAGTCGGCAGAAAGTCCTGTTCGAACTAAGTACCGTACTTTTTGGTACTCGTCAGCATAGCGCATTAACCATTGTTGCCGTTAGAGCCATTATCAATGGGTTAGTCGGACCATGACTGAGCTCCTGTAGGAATGGATTAGATATATTGATTGGTCACTGTCGATTGCCTGCATCCAAATAAAACTTATTCCAGTGCATCGTGATGGTGAGTCCTCTAAACTAGTGACTACATTGCAAAATGATCGACCAAATAGGATCACAGCTTAGGACTAGAACATATGAATTTGGTTACCCTCTAGTGATTAAACAATCCATTTAAAATGTATTATCTATTAACGGTTGAGATATTTTATTGTATAAGAAACAACTAGCTGAAGCACAATTTGAACTCATTCAAAAGTGAAATAAGTTGAAACATAGTGGATCAAGTATTATTTTAGCCATCATTTTCGATGTAGAATTTTACAAATAGTCAATCATAATCTTAATAACAGGGTTATAATGTCTTCAGTTGCAACAGTGAGCAGCGCAGATTCAATTTTCATAATATGGAAGACTTTTTTAAGTGTTGAGTATGATTTTTGTTGCCCAGTATTACTACTACTACTACTATAGTGAGCGTTGCTGATAAGAATGGATATAAGTAGTATATGTTGAGAGAGCGGTAAAGATTCTGCCCAGAGGAACGCAAGAGACAATGTAGGCGTATGAAGAGCAAATCAAGATAGAAGCAGAAGAGGAAATGAAGCATATTGTGAAAATGACTGTCTCAGTGGGAAGTGTACAAAATTTCATCACTACTGTGCGAGATGTCAATACTAAACATTCCTTGATTCGCCTCCCTCTTGTCATTTTCTACACTACTACTACTACTACTGCTACTACTACTACTAATAATAATAATGATAGTAATTGCCATTATTATTATTGTGATGGACAGAAAACCTAAATCAGATGTGTCTTAACAACTGCCATCGATTATTAACCGGTCTAGTACTCTGTGATTTGAAGTCATTTGGTGCAATTCAGTACCATCAACATTATTTTTCAACTACTACTGCAAAAGGAAACCACAACATGATCTTACCATCTTGCAATCTAACTCTTGAAACATTGGTATTAATGTCTATCAATGCAAAGTGTTGGGCTATGGGGAATATGTGTCAACTAATATCCATTTTCAGTCTAGCTGGTCTTAGTTTATTACTAATTCATTACATGGAAAGTATAAGTAAAATGTCTGATTATTCAATCCTCAGTGTTTCAAATTTCTTTCAGTTAAATAATACAAGTAATCCGGAAGCGAATGTTTCAGTCTTTGGGAACTTCTTACTTACAAATATTTATTTTCCGGGTGGTTTTTAATCGATCAAATATTCTAAAGGAGCTGTGAGGTGCTCTCCTTTCTCTTTTGTCAAACCATGCTGGTACACATTCAGAAATCCGCTTGGAAGGACAACGCTGAGTACTGCTAATATACTTTACGCCACAGGAGCCGGTCTTCCGATACATCTGCTATTATGTCTCCGTTAAACTGTAAGCTCATGAAAAGCGCCCGCTTCTAAGAAGCCCCTTTTCATGAACTTACAGTTCAACGGCGACATCATATATATTGAGGAACAGTCTGGCATGCTTATTGAGGAAGACTTTCTATTCTGCTGAACTCAGATTTTGAGTAAAGGATAAGCTAGCTCACCTCAATGTATGTTTATCAATTCACCTGCTCTTGTGGAGGTATATCGGCCGTACTCAGCACTCGCTTTCCAAACGTGTTTCAGAAACTATTTATTTCCTGCAGTATATAGAATGGACATTATGTTACACATGTAAATGTTTTATGTTCAACTAGGCTGTATGTTTTTATTAGAGAAAAGGCTGATAATTTTCAAGACATCGTAAACTTATACGATATTTTTGAGACCACTGAAAACCTGTTAAGAGTAAACAGGATTCTTAACAAAGTTTGGAACTTTACAGGGCACTGAAGTGCATTGCTATCAATTTGCTTAGTGAGAATCTGATGATCAGTGTTTACGCTTTTAATCTCAGTTGATTAGAACGCTACTTCAAAGTTATGGACTACGACCAAACGTGGATGCTCAATTCTTACAAGAATTTCAACATTTCTACAGTTGGTTGCACTTTTTAGCAGAAACTCTCTTCAAGAAAATTTTATATTATCAGTAGCATTATGAAACAAAACCAATTTATACTTACACAAATGTTGGATAACTGTCTGATCCAATTACAGGGAATAAAGGAAACATAGCCAAACAGCAACATGAAAAGCACCATAGAGATGAAACAATCTGGATCATAGGAGAAAAGGATCAGATAGTATGATGATCAAAATAATAGTAGTAATGATAGTCAAAAATATTGATAAGTTGCATTAAATCAAAATCCAAGTGAATACAACGATACGATATCACTAAATAAGAACGTCTACTAAGCAGTCGGTCATTTTGTTTCGCTACTAAAACAAATTGAGATAAATGTAGAGTTGTGGCACATTGGTCTAGAGAGATAACTTTCAACCGAAGGGTTACTAGTTCGTGACCCGCTCCACCTATTGGGGTTTTGGGAGTCAAGTAGTAACATCAGCTCTTACATGAGAGGTGTGGCTTACTGTTTATTTAACGAATGTGTATAAGGTTGCCAAGTGAGTTCGCTCGCTTCGCTACTGATATAATTAGATATTCAACCTTTAGAAGATGTCAAGGAGTGATTACATCTGCGCCATTATGACTGATTTGCAACCATGTCACCGATAATCCTCAACCACTGATTCATTTCATCTAGAGGACCTCGACCAGACAGTCTACATCTCCACACACCACTCAGACTTCATCGATTGATGCCACATATTGGTCTGGCCACCCTGAACCCCCTTCCAGCCTAACTCAACTTTCCCCAGTATGGCATGTCGAGGTAGATGACTGCTCAGCATGCTCAGTATATGCTCAAGTCATTTCAGTCGATAAAGATTCACAACCTCATCAATCGAATTGCCTATCTTGCCTAGTACCCTTTGCCTGACTGACATAAACACTGCCCACATTGTGAGTTCACCAAACGCGAGCAATGCTATGAAGATGTCTAGGATCTAATACGTGTAATCGATTCATGCCTCCTGCTTTCAACGGCCATGTCTGATAGCCATACAACAAGATAGAACGGACTGCAACACAGTATACTCGTCCTTTGATATGTTGTAGAATATCTCACCAGTCGGCGCCACAGATGACACAAGCTTGGAAGTATGCAAAACGGGCCTTCTGTTTCCAAGATGATATTTCGTCAGCAACCAGCTTGTTTGGGTTGATGCAACTCCTGGAGTGTATGAAGTGGTTGACGGATTCCACTACTTCACTCCCTATCATTAAACTGGGAGTACTCGGAGCACACCAGTCGTGGAGCTTCAATTTACATTTGAGAGGTTCGAAACGCATGCCAAATATATTTAGATTTCTGCTGAACACGTTCAGAAGACTCTCCAATTTGTCATCGTCTTCACCTAGTAAGTAGGACAATATCGACCGCAAACTGCAAGTCAACTGGATAGCCTGTAAGGAGTAGATCGATTCCTGTGAAGTCACAGGACTCCGCGAGGCTGTTAATAGTTGGATAATTACCGCAAAGAACTGAAGGTTATGATGATTTTAAAGCAAACAATAACTTATGAGCAAATCAGGTTTTAATGTAGTTCAATATCGAAACTATATGTCACAATATGCACGTACAGGACGTGTACTAATCACTGAGTTACACATTTCCTATGGGTTAATGATACTACCTGGATGGCAAACCTCAATAATCGAGGTAGGGTTCGAACGTCTGAGATACTGGCTGAATGCCAAGTTGATGATCTGCTATGTACCGAATGCGTTCCAAATATTCTGTTAAATCTTGGGTCAGTAGACAAAGAGACTTAATTGAATAAAAAATTGAATTGAAATATTCAAAGTGACTACTACCAGCATACAGTACTCTTTCGGATAAATTTAAAAGGGTCGTAGGAAGAGCATATATCATTCTGGTAAATAATACTGGGAAGTCATTCACAGTTAAATACTAAGGCTAAACGCATAGACCAAAGTAGAAGCTATTAGGTTGTGGAGTATGGCTGGGACAAAATGCTGGTTAAATAACATCAGAAACTTGAAAGTGGGAAAGTATTTGAGTGAAACAAAAAATTCTGTATTAATTCCATGAAGTTATCCACGCCTTTCTAAATAATCAGTGAAAACCATGTTTCATACATTTAGTGTGTTATTACTATGTGAATGAACAAAGAGAACAAGTAAGCATCCATTGTGTCATATACCTTCTAAGACCTAATCAGATTACTTGATGAAATAGTGAACAGAAAACGATCAAAAATATTGAACCAGTCTTTTGACTAGCTATCTTTTCTACTTCAGAAAGTTATTTTCAATAAATAAATCACCTAACATATATGTTCTTCCACCATCAACTGCGTGGCTCGATTGCTCCTCCTAATGTATGTGTACGACTACACATAATGCTTTCCTAATGGGTGATATTAGCCTACATCTTAAACCAGTCAACTCTCCTCTGTATAGTAGAGTGATATACAACCGTATATAGAGTTGGCTTTGGTGCTAGTTGACTTTTACAATGGATTAAAAACTTCAACAGATATCCGTTTTCCGTAAGTGTTTTGGTCAGTAATTTGATATCTTTATCTATCATATCTGATGTCCAGATATTATAGATCCTGCTTAACAGGCATTTCATTAGATCCTACTTGTATTGAATTAGGCAAAAATGAAAATTTAGATACCGGCCTATTTATGTAGGCTTTCTGTAGACTGATCGTCTAATAGAAGCATTTTCTCGTCAACAGAGAATGGTAGATAATTATCATTCTCTTTCTCACAAGTCAAACTGAGAAGAGTTTTTAAAGTGTCAAGTTTTCTTAGTAGACAAACCATATATTTATGTTTTCTACGGATCAATATGACGCAACCAACATATCTCTTGCAAAGAGAAATTTTAGCGATGAGATCACCAGTCAGATCTTCGAAATATGACACATAAATATCAGCTGACAGAGGTCCTAAGGGACTTTCCATAGCTTTACCATCAAGTGTTTACCTTCAAATGTGGAATGAACTTCTTCGATACATGGCAATAATAGTTCCCTCAGAAACTTTGGAGCAATAGAGAATAGGAGGTTTCTAGAAGATATGTAGTCACAGAGAATGTTAATAGTTTTGGACAATGTCACGTTAGTGAATAAAGAATTTACGTCGAAAGAGTAAGTAGTCTTGTTTTTGATATTCATGTTACTTAGAGAGTCAACGAATTGAAAAATATCTTTCGATGGAAACATACAGTCTACATGTGTGTGTGTGGTCACACATACATTATTATTATTTGTCCCTTGGGTTCCTAATGGAACATAGGGCTTCAGTAGCACATCTCCACTCCACTCTGTTCTCTGAAATCTTTTGAACCTGGCTCCACGACAACCCACAACCTCTCATTTCCTCCTCGCACGATCTCCTCCATGTCACCCTCGGACGTCCAACTCGTCGCTCCCCATGGGGGTTCCACTCGAGGGCCTGGCTGGTGCGTGATGTCCCCAGTCGGCCTTCTCAGTGTATGCCCAATCCATCTCCACCTCCTTCTGCATATTTGTTGGGTGATAGGTTCTTGGTTGGTTCGTTCCCAGAGTTCCTAGTTGCTTATTATTTCTGGCCATCTGAGCTTCGGTAACGAGCGTAGGCAGTTGTGATGAATGTCTGTAGTTTGTTGGAAATCGCTTTCGTAACGCTCTAAGTCTCTGAACTATACAGAAGCACTGACTTGACGTTAGTGTTGAAAATCCGAATCTTGTTCCACACGTTTAGTGCAGTGTAGAAGATCTCCACACTGGTTCCAGGCTAATGAACGCCTGTCTTGATTTTCCGATCCTGACTTCGACATCCTCGACTGTGCCGCCACCTGTAGTTGAAACAGTGCTGCCTAGATAGGTGAAGGAGGCTGCTTCCTTTGAGTTTCTCCCGTTGATGGTGATTGGAGCTTGTTGTTGTAGTTGCCGTTGTTATTGGTTGGGTACCTTCATCACCTCTGTCTCCTCTACGTTCACTTGAAGTCCCGTCTTCGCTGCCTCTTCTGTCAACTTGTTAGTTTTCACCTGTAGATCTTCAAGTGTGTGTGACATGAGACATAAGGAGGAGTAATCGAGCCTTGCATTTGAAGGTGCGGGAACGTATATCTAAATGGCTTCAGAAACAAATGGAGTGCGAAACGTTGACGAATTGATTTGTGATTCGTCAAGTCAAGCTAGTGAATCATTCACGGAGAGATATTGAAAGTTCACTTCATATTGAAGTTAGTGCTAATGATATTGTCTAGCAAGTCGATGAAAGCTCCATAAATTAAACAATCCAGCTCAGAAAACACAATACAACCAAAATCATCCACCTGAGCTACAAATATTCTCCACCATTATAGTAATATTTCAGAGAATAAAAACAAATTAAAAAGTCGTATGTAGGTAATTTCATCAAAACACATTAACGGAACTTACTTTTTCACGCGCTTTAAACGATTTGTCTATAAAAGGCCATGCAGCGAACACTAAACATGCCAAAGACAGTAGGTACCGGTAAAAAATCCCACACCTACGTTTGCGAAAAAAAAACACATTTCACTTCAAATAAAGTTTTATGTCAAATCAAATGGGAAGTTAGTAATAGCCAGACGTTTATGCATAGACGACATGTTCATTGCATCCAGTAGCATTGAATTTACATGGTGTCTGACAATCCACTTAGAAGAGATACGATAGATCCATACACTTGTAATTTTAAGGTATTTAAGTAAAACATTATATCGCAGTAGAGCATGAGTGAAATGCAGTTCAAAGTAGGAGAAAACAATAGAGAAATAGTAGTTTTTTCAACTAAATATCGATTTGTGACACATCAGCCGATCAATAACTAAAATTTCCTTCATCTAACTTTGAGAAGCCTGGTAACTCCAATTTCCAGTGAATCTTTATATATAGAAAAATATCCAACAGTTCAGATAACACACGCGTGCTTCAGATTTTCTTAATATTTAAATGAGTATGCATTCAAAAAAATCATCAGCAAATTTGCCTGTCTGAATCAATGTTTTATTTGAACATAGCCTTGGTGTTTACCAGTCGGCAAGATATAAATAATAACACAGGTGTAACCTCCTCATATTGTTAACGTAGTATTCATCATGGACTGATATTGAAGGAAACAAGAAGACAGAGACGAAAGAAGGAATGCTTATTATTAACATCTGATACAGTAGTCGTCAAATATGGTACAAATGGCACTAAGACAGTCATTTCCAAAATGAGTTTCGTTTCCTCTTCTGCTTCGATCTTGCTTTGCTCTTCATACGCCTACATTGTCTCTTGCGTTCCTCTCGGCAGAATCCTTATCATTTGCTGGTAATTGCCTATGATTTCTGCCGCTCTGTTAACTTATACTACTTATATCCATTCTTATTAGCAACGCCCACCACAACATCAGTTAACGAACCATTGAAAACCTGGGAGCACTGAACACCTATTTCGTCCTGGCATGGGGCTCCTGAGTAGTGTGCACCCGCCACAGATCGAACTCAGGACCTTCAGGTCTCGCGATGAACGCCCAAAGCATTTAGGTACTGGATCAGGGTTCAATTGTCCATACTCTGTGATACACGGCAACCATCTACCAAGGTCTTCCTTCAGTTAGCATCCGCTGCACTTTGTCATACTGTCAACTATATATCACAACTGCAAATAAAAGGCGAAAGCATTGTTGTGTTACAGGCCAAACTTGAGTGACTAAGGACAATTTCTTCAGTATCACAAGTTACTGAATATATGCTGCTAGTATGCCTTTTGAATATAGGCATAAAATAAGTTTCAGGGTAACTACAAGATTGCAAATGGCCTTAATGAAAATCTCAGAAACAGTACAATGTTCCCAGTATAGTCAGTGAAATGGCTAACCGGTTTAAACATTTGAGTATAAACCAGTGAGATATACATTCAAAACTGAAATCACGAGCTAGAATGTCAACAGTCCAGCAGAATCGTTAGTCTTCAGGTAAGAGATCACCCCAGGCAAAATATTAAGCCGCATCATCCTGCAGAGACTAAGAAATGCTCTAGATTCAACTGGATTACGACCGGAACAAGCTAGCTGGCTTCAGGAAGAACAAATCATATGCCGATCAAAATGCAACGCAACGCTAAGCATCACCATAGAACAGAGCATAGAATGTCAGTCAACTCAACCTCATCGATTTTGGAAAGGCCTTCAACAGAGTCAACCGAGAAGTAATTTGACAGCTGCTTCAACACTACACTTTTAGTGCCACAAACCTTTATCAACCTTATTCAACAGCAGCTATATCCTATATGATGCAACATGCCAGGTGATTCACAAAGGAAAGCTCAGTAACCCATTTGAAGTGAAGACAGGAAGGAGTGAGACAAGGTTGCCGCCTACTACCAACGATCATCTTCATGATTGTGGTCCACTGAGCCGGACTGGATCACGCAACAAACAGTAAGGAGCGAGAAGAGGGGCATACGCTATTTGACCGATGGAAAGACCATAGAACATCTGGATTTCGCCGATGATCATTTATGTCTGTCTTATGTCGCACAAACTCGAAGATCTACAGGCCAAAACCAAAAAGTTGACAGAAGAGGCAGCGAAGACGGGACTTCAAGTGAACGTAGAGAAGACAGAGGTGATGAAGGTACCCAACCAATAACAACAACAAGCACCAATCACCATCTAAAGGAAGTTATCCCTTCCACCAACCTACCTAGACAGTATCGTTTCAACTACAGGCGGCACAGGCACATATGAGGATGTCAAAGCAGCCAGGATCGGAATGACAGCAAGACAGGCCTCTATTAATCTGAAATCAGTGTAGAGATCTACTGCATTCAGCATGTGGAACAAGATCCGGATTTTCAACAACAAAATCAAGTCAGTGCTTCTATATGATGGTTGAGACTTGGTGCGTTACGAAAAGCATTTCCAAAAGCTACAGACATACATAACATCAACAGCTGTCGCCTAGGCTGACTCGATACTCAAGATCAGGTCAGATGGCCAGAATAGTAAGAATAAGCAGGGAGGAACTCTGGCTGGTAACGAACCAAACAAGAACCTATCGCCTAACAAATTTGCGGAAGAAGAAAGTGGAGATGGATTGCATTGGACATACACTGAAAAGACTGTTCGGGGACATCAAGCACCAAGTCATCGAGTGGAACCCTAAGGGGAAACGACGAGTTGGGCGTCGGTGTCGAGGGTGACATAGAGGAGATCGTGTGAGGGAGAAATGAAAGCTTGTGGGCAGTCGTGGCGTCAGGTTCAAAAGACTGTAGAAAACAGAGTGAAATGGTGATGTGCTAGTGAAGCCCTATGTTCCACTAGGAACCCAAGGGACAAATAATAATAATAATAAGTAACAGAGATGATGGTCATAGCCTGATGCATGAATCTGCATATGATTGATGAGTTGTTTTTCGTTTCAATAGGGAAACTGGATGTGTCAGTAATGTTCGATCAAATGGATAACTAAATACAACAAAAGAGAGTATTTTTCCGCACCATCTTCACAGATAAAATGCTACATAACGAAAATAAGTGGCATATACTCTCAACCAACAGGAGAAATTCACAAATAAACTGTTATGATATACACGAAATATGTCAAAAGAAATATAGAAATTCAGTACGAAGAAAATAACATGGTGAATATAACTCAGGATTATCAGTTTGCCTACCTGAGATAACTGTGGTTTGGTAGGCTTGTATTGATACTACGCGATGATTGAAAGAGGCATCTGGTTCAAATTATACCATAGATCAGATTTTCATTTCACCTTCAATCATCACGCAGTATCAATATCTCAGGAAATAAAGATATATGACAAGTACAAACTGTATAACTTTACTTACAAGCAGTTCAAGTAGGCATATGGAAGCAACAGTAACTGAACAAACTGATGAAAAAGATGAAACTGATGAGTATGCCAATAATCCTTTGATTATATAATCCACTAGTGCTACTAACTGTTTTCGTTGAGTTGTTGAATAAGTCAACGAAAGAACTAGAAAGAGTGGAACCAGTTGATATATAGTGGGTCCCAACGACCAAGAAGGAGCTGAAATGACAGAAAAATGATTCAAAAATAAATGATAAGTGCTATAACCCTACAAAGACATACCAAAAAAATATCATTTTGATTATCTGAGATAGCTGTGGTTAAGCAGACTGAAATTGATAGTGGGTGATAATTGAAGGTAAAATGGAAATTTGGGCTGCGCACCAGGACTCGGACCGGCGATCATCAGGTTTCTGACCCGAAGCTCTACCAACTCACCTACGAGACCCGAATACTTGTTAGAATTTTATTTTATTTCAGTTGCCAAGGGTTTTGCCCGACTGTCATGTGAAGTCGTGACGCGTTATTATCGGCTGCTCATACTCACACTAGCTGCCAACAGCCAGGACTTCTCATCCAAATATAAATCTACTTGATTTAGGAATTGAAGTGAAATAAAAATTTAGTCAGCAGTCGGTTCTCGTAACTTAGTCGGTCGTTAGTTCGAGTCCTGTCGCGCAGCTCAAATTTTCACTTCATTTTCAGTCATTACCCAGTAACAAACAAATGTTACAATCCCTTTCTAATCATCATTTTCAATAGTATTTATTGTCAGAAATGATATCACCACCTTCATGTAACGAATTATCAGAATTTTGAGAATATTAATGATTACATTTTGATAAGCTAGACCCTAACCTCAACCGAAACGAACACTTCAGACCACAGCATAATACCTAGCCAGTCCTTTCTGCTTCTTCAAATGATGTTATAGTATGTGCTAGTCACAACCTCGCTTGGTTAAGTAGTTCACTAGTTACTAGCCGGTCCTAAGCCCGGGTAAAGAGGGAAGGTTCGGCATAGGGCTAGCAACCCTACCCCGGAAAACCAACTCAATCGCTAGGGAAACTTCAAGGCACAAAGAAAATATAAAGAAATAAAACTGAACTTATTTCCCTCTGGAATCGGAAAGACGAAGCGACGCCGGTTGGTGAAAGACTTCGGGAAGCCAATTGACCGATGTGTCTTCTTCTCGATGAAACCAAAAGTAAGAATGAGGACATGGAATGTCCGAACAATGTTTGAATCTAGCAAGGCTGCCCAGATTGTAAAAGAGGTGAGAAGGTATAGAATAGAAGAGATAGGAATCTGCGAAAGCAGATCGAATGGAAGTGAACTCTTCAAACTGTCAACAGAAGAGTCAAGAATAAGCAAGGAGGAACTCTGGCTGGTAACGAACCAAACAAGAACCTATCGCCTAACAAATTTGCGGAAGAAGAAAGTGGAGATGGATTGCATTGGACATACACTGAAAAGACTGTTCGGGGACATCAAGCACCAAGTCATCGAGTGGAACCCTAAGGGGAAACGACGAGTTGGGCGTCGGTGTCGAGGGTGACATAGAGGAGATCGTGTGAGGGAGAAATGAAAGCTTGTGGGCAGTCGTGGCGTCAGGTTCAAAGGACTGTAGAAAACAGAGTGAAATGGTGATGTGCTAGTGAAGCCCTATGTTCCACTAGGAACCCAAGGGACAAACAATAATGATATAATAATGTGTTAGTCACATTAGTATACTTCGTGTACAAAGCAACCGATCACTTGTTGGTTTTTGTAGCTCTTCGTTGTTATACTGGATCGAATTGATCAGCCTCTATTTGCATATGGGCTCGTATGAGCACGTCCTGATATTGGCTGAATATTCATTGTCATAATTCACTCGGTGATGGTTAGCATTAGAATCTAGGACGTGGGTTTTGCCCCACTAGCGACTCTTCAGCTGGATGTGCCTACACCCCAGTGGATAATGGTGTTCGCCTTGAGACTCATTGTTGAAGTGTTATCCACTAGGCTGTTATTGCCTTAGTGGCCTAATGAATTAGACTTTGGCGTTTGAAGCGATGGGTACTGGGTTCCAGTGTCGGTGGGAACCACGTCACTCACTGTGATGCATGTGCATTCAGCTGATGAAACTCAAATCGAACGAGACGTGCATCCCCCATTACACTACTAGCCACCATAAAGTAAATTAAAACAACTGGCTGTTTAATAATTTACTCCCTAGCCTCAAAAATACGAAAGCTAAACGTTAGAAAGGATTGCTTATTTATACAGGGCTATGAACCTAACGAGCATGAATAAAGGTTATAAATTTTATCACTTCAAATCAACGTACAATCATTGACGTCACGTTTTTGAATATAACAATGAGAGAGAACTCTCACTACAAATTGAAGGCAAATTTATCTACCATAAGTGTTCAACATAAATAGTATAGGCATTTATCCGAAGAACAGAGTTACTCTACGCTACATACTACGATAAACGTTTACCAGTAAATTTAAAGCAACAAAACATAGCTTGGATATTGTAGTTTACTTGGTGGCTAGCAGTGAAATCTAGGACGTGTAATTCATCCTATTTAGGACTTGTCAGATGTACCTACCTAGATCCCAGTGAATGATCGATACTTATAATTACCAATCGCTATTTTGGGTTGATATGATCCACTTCTGTTGACAGATGGGTTCTTATGCAGAGGTCAAGGAACCCAAGCCAGTATAGCAGCATGAAGTTACGATTATCAATAAACAGTATAATTTGGATAAATACTTAATGACATACTTTTACACTAAAAACAAACTCATATTAACTTTTGGGAAGGGATTAAAATACTAAAGGGTATCTGTGAAATTTGTTATAGAATCTTAACTGATAAATAAATTTATATCAACTAACCGAATGCAAGAATTATCAAACAGAATCCAATCACAATCCAATTAACCAATCGCCAATGAACACTATCAACATATCTCTGATATTTATCATAATCTATATTGTCAATTACACCAAATAAACGGCAAAGTATTACTAAACTCCATAGGCAGAATGTTGTTGATATACAAAAGCTAAAACAGAATTGTATGCATTAATACACAATGGTGTAATATTGTACATTAACATAATTTTTAAAAAAAAGGATGAAAATCCACTAGCTATCAATAAGGGAGATAGATATAAAATCTTTAACACAATAATGCAAGAGACTAGAAAAAAAAAAGGAATATACTTACCCTAGATACAATCTATCATACTTATGATAATAATTAAGACTTTCTAGTGCTAAACTGGTTAAACGTCTATATTTTTGAATCTATAAAAGAAAAACGAAGAAAATATACAATGAAAAATTCATTGGTATACTAAGAATTTTTTGTTTTTGGAAAACTTACTGCTTCATTGTATTTCCCAGATGTAGTGAGTAAATCACACTCCTGTTCTATTTTATAAATTTGTGACATTTTCAAGAGCCTTGACAAGTAGGAAATAATTTAAATAAACATTACTAGGTAGCTGGATAAGAAAGATGAACAAATAACTTCATTTAGTAAGATAATGATGAAAAATAACACATAAATAATGCATTTTCAAAATGTTTAACCCTTAGGTTCGATCCCCAGACGAGATCATGGAGTGAGTACTGCTGAGGAATAGCAAACCAGGATGGAACAACTGACTAGTGTTCTCAGGTTTTCAGTAGTTCACCAACTGATATCAGCCCATGATGAATACTGCCTTAAAAAGTTCTTTTCACTAACGAGTAGAAAACTAGTTAAAATATAGTACGCTACAGTCAATGATCATAGGTATTAGAAGATAAGAATTCATAGATCATGAAGGCGACAGGAATTGTCTACTATTCTCTACGGTTTGATAGCTGATGAATCAAGTTTTTCAAGTTGTTATTCATCGTAGACTGACGTTAGCTGGAGGAACAAAGGAAACCTGGGAGCACTGGATAGCTATTTCGTCCTAGTGTGGGACTCCTCGGCAGTGCGCACCCACGACCCTGCCAGGGATCGTGAGCTAACAGAAGTTGGAAATACAAACCACTGGGTTCTGACCCAGTTGCTCAATGGTAACGTGCTGGCTACCGAATCTGAAGGTCGAAGGTTCGATTCCTGGTGGGGTCGTGGATGCGCACTGCTGAGGAGTCCCAAACTAGGACGAAACAGCTGTCCAGTGCTCCCAGGTTTCTTTTGCTTCTCCAACTGATGTCAGTCTACGATGAATAGCAACTTGAAATATTCCCAAATCCCCACAACTCCCTCAAAATTCAATTGAATCCAGTTTTTATCATCAAGTCTTATATATATATATATATATATATATATATATATATATATATATATATATATATATATATTAAGACTGACTTCATAGAAAAGCTGTTTGCTTGTTTGTTTGTTTTTAAAAGTTAGTTTCGATGAAGTCATCAAGTCTGATGGTGAAACAACAACAACAAATATGCAACAAGAAGTTACAGGATTCAAGCATTAACATTTTTAACGCTTTCTGCATTCAGTGTATAAAAAAGCAGTAACTTGCAAAGATTTGGTTCAGTTGTCAGAATAAGTATGAAAAACTTGTTGAATTGTCCAAATTGTTTTGATGGTTTGTAAACACTTTGACACTGGGTAAGTGATATTTCCTATTTTGATATTTGCATTTCTCAATCATTGAAAAACAAAACAAGGTGGTAGTCTACTTGATGACTAGCAGTGGGGTCCGGGAAGCATTTTTCGTCTTATTTGGTACTCGTTAGCTGGACGTACCTGCACCCCAGTAGATCGATGGTGTTCCCACTGAAATTCCAACTCCGCATCCACTTCATCCCTTTTAGAAGGGTAAAACGTACCTAGTCAAGACCAATTACTCAAACGACAACATCGATGAGCATACACACACACACACACAAATACTATTTACTTACGGAAATTCTCGGAATAACAGGGAAAAGTGAGATTTTCTTTTCTCTGCAAACTTAATCTACAAAGAATAATGAAGCTAGGTACAAACTCTTATCTGGCAATGATTATAAAGCAAGTGGATAAATGATCGATAAAACATTACAACAAGCAATAATCTCGAAAACAACTAAGTCATGTGTATTATTCTTACTTTTTCTACAATTCATCACTTCGGTAGGAAAAAAGAAATCGAAATAAACTCAACAACTATGTGTACATTCATCCAGTACGCAATGAGCCATACTTATTGCGTGTGAGTTAATGATACTACTTAGCTGCCTAAACTATCAGTAGGTGAAGCAGTGTTCGGGCCTATGACCCATCAGTTGGAAGTCAACCGCCTAAACCAATGAACCATAGCTCTACTACCCCCATCACTCAAGTAAGTCTGGATTTCAGTAAACATACGCGGCGATTGTGTTTAATTAATTCCACTGTTTTTCATTTCAAAACTACTGAGTCATTTGTTGAAAACTTTGCTTCATATGTCAATGTTTGGATATCCAGATAGTAACATCAATTATCAAACAGATAGATTGATAGATTCAGCTCATAATGTAAGCCATGAAGAAAAAAATTGTTGCTGTTTCTCTTTACTATCAATTAATTTCTGAGTTCTTATTGATATTCAAACCTAATACATATCAATTCAAACATTAGAATACCGATTCGCTAGAAAAACCGAGTTATAATAACAACAAGAAAGTCTTAAAATACAGTTTCACAAAGTTTTTTCTAGTGAAAACGAGATTCGAAGGTACATTAAGCGATGGGTTCATCGCAGTAACACAATAACCAATCAGATTTGGGATGTTTATCTTGTCTTTCCATATACATCGGTCACCTTAATGTTTATTGAAGTGATGATGTTTAAGTTGACAACTAGTAGTTCACATAGAAAGAGGAATGCATACCCTTACAAGTGTCTAGTATCTTATGTAGTAACCTATAACATAGACTAAACGATGAATAAAATTGATAATATGAATACCAACCATCGTTGAGAAAGAGAATAACAGATTATCAATGTTTTCAGATTATCTGCTTAGACTGTGATCGTAAGTTGTCGATCCGAAAATAAGCGTCTGTGCAAAAGATATGCTGCCAAAACGTCTCTTTATGCACAGGCTCACAATAAAGTTAATTACATGTTAGTTGGATGGAGCCAATCCGCAGGAAGGTTTCGTGCTTACTGGCACTCGTCAGCAAGGCGTATCTGCAACTCTGACGGAATTGATGTCCCCCATGGGATCCGAACCCATATCACCCAATGTTGTAGTCAGTGACGTTACCACAGCTATCTGGGTCTCGACTAACCTCCTTTAGGGATGGATTAAATACGTTGATTGGTCACTGGAGGCTAACCAACTTCATGTTGTCTTGGGAAACTATGACTACGACACATAGAGACAACTTCGTATCATTTACAAAATAAAAAAGGATCAATAAAACGTTTTAAAGACATACTTTTAATTGCTCATATATTTGAAGCCAATTGGCTCGAGTTAACTTCACTTTATCTAACTCAGGAATTCTCAGAAATTCAACGGGAACTTGACCCTGAATAAAAAGTAATAGAACTTTATGAAAGGTCCGGTAAAATGAATGAAAAATTAACTTGAAATAAGTAGTTTAAAGGCTTAAATGCTACACATTGTCCTAGCTAAGTGATCTCATGAAAAGTGGACTGAAAATATAAAAATATACTGCAATAGGATGGTCACCGTGACTGATGCTACATGTTTACATTCAACTAGCAAGGAGTTCTGAAACTAGTTTTCACCCTAGCTAGATCTGTGGATCATTTAACTAACTACTCGACTTCTAACCAGTGGGCCAAGGGTTCAAACCTCACCCCCATTTACCAAGGACTGGACAAACGTACAATACGTTATTGGTTGTAATTCAATTTTTTTTAGGTATTTATCAGCAAGTTGTGTGTAAAATATCAATGAAATTAATGTACCTTGTATAGATTTAGACCCATACTACTCAGCGCTAGTTGAAAACTTTCCGATTAAGTTCGTTATACTGTAGGTAACCCCCTTTCGAAACTATTTATATATATATATGAACCAAAATTGTGAATATAATGTTTAAGTAGCCTTCAAGTGTCCATGAATATGTGAAAGTAAAATATGTAAAGGATTCGAAAAGTATCCAGCTGGTTTCCTAGATTTACTTAGAGAGATTTATTTCCTAAAGAAACCGAAGTATTCAGCAGTACAAGTGTTGGATACCTGACGACTTGGGAATACCAAGTGTATTCCTTTGAATACATTAAAGATAATCGATGAAAAGCGATGTCATATCTACTTCAGTTTATACCAGCCACTGCAATAAGACGTTTCTAACTCGATACTTGTACACAGAAGGAAAGTGTGAATAATCTTACATAGCATTAATATTTCGGGTTTAATGGTTTAAAGTAAGAGTTACTTTTACTTTTACCATTCTCATATTTGATTACTCAACACTTTATTTAGTAAGTAAATCCACTTAAAATTCTTTGACTCCTACAACTTTGACCAGTTGTAAGTTTCAGGTTGGTATTCACCCACAACCCTGGTAGGGGGTCAAAACCAGGCGGTGTGCACTGTTGAGAAGTCCTGTGGTAAGATGAAACAACTGTCCAATGTTTCCCTAAATAATGTTAGTCTATAGTGAATGATAACCTGAAATCAGTAAATAAATCCCCTCCAAACCTCCAAACCAAAAGTAAATTATCTTGGGTTTTGACTATGATCCGTACTTATTGTTTTTCATATTCCTTTGACTCAGTAAAAGTGATGAGAAGCTATGACAAGAAACGTTTCCCATCTTTAACCTGCAAAAAAAGTATTAAGAGATTTAAATAGAGAGAGATACAGGAGTACGTACAACAGAATTGACTGGTATCGGGACACCTAAAAGGCTAGCTATTAGGGGACACAAATCGGCTTGTTGAATGTCACGTCGAAGGCGTCCATAATTATGTAATGGTAAACCATAAATATCTTTTAGGTCATTTGGTAACTTGTCTTCGTTGGTTTCAATTTCAACCGGACCAACTATACCAGATCCCCAAATTAACAAAGGAGTTGCCGTTTCATGAAGAGAACCTGATCCATGACTTCCTAGAAGATAAAAAAACAATTACAGAAGAACAAGTTAAACTTTTCTTTCAACTAGTAGCTAATCTGTAGTATACACGTCGAATAAAGTCAGTCAGAGTATTATTTTTCTTTTCCTTGAAACACAATCTAGAGTTAAGTCATAAAAAACCTTTTGCTACCAAAGGTTAAAAAGATAATAAATGAATAAACCTGTAATAAACTGCATAGGTATAAATCAAGTGATGGAGAGGAGGAATATTCAACGGAGTGGTGTTACAGTTAAAAAAGTAGTGAAAAATCCGAAGTTGAGACTCATGATCGGTCATCAACTACTTCCGAGTAAGATATTGGTTGGACTGTCAGTGAGATGGAAGAAATCAAAAGAATAACTTAAAGATTGCTGGTAAACTATTCCATTGAAACAGAACAGGTTGAACTAGGTCTCATTTTTGTTGAAATTAGTGTTGACGATATGACATTTAAACATATATGGCATACTAAACTGGATTTTTTTCATTTTTATTAAATATTCCAGAAGCAGATGCACGTTTTCTTCGAAGTTTAAATTTTCTGTGGTAACGAATTCCTGATTTGTTACACATAGTACTTTATGCATAATTTTCTGCGATGCATATACCACCAAATGCTAAAGTGTCTACCTGTCTGCTCATTGTATCCAGAACCTTGAACTCATGAAATTTATATGTTGTCCTCCATTAAATTTTGATGTGCTACTTATTCAATCCACTGTAATATTGTAAGAGTTTTGCTCATAGCAAAGTATCTTGATTAGTCAATAAGTTACAATCCTTTTGTTGAAACTTCAAACAGATAAGTGTATTTCACAGGATTTGGTATTTGGTATAATTAGAGAAAAAACAACTGAGTTTCACAATTTGCATTTATTTATCATAAAGAATCTGAATTATTATTCTTTATAGGCAGTGACTTTTGGCTAAGTTAATAGGACTGAATCAAACCAGTTTTATTAATATTATTATTATTCGTCCTTTGGGTTTCTACTGAAACATAAGGCTTCAGTAGCACACCACCGCTTCACTCTCTTCTCTGCAGTCTTTCTAACTTGGCTCCAGTACTGACCACAAGCTTTCATTTCTACCTCACACGATCTCCTCAATTTCACACTCGGACGCCCAACTCGTCATTTCCAATTTGGGTTCTACTCGACGGCTTGGTGCGTGATGTCTTAGTGTATGTCCAATCCATCTCCACCTTCTTCTTCTGCATATTTATTGGGCGATAGGTTCTTGGTCGGTTGATTCGTTGCCGGCCAGAGTTCCTCCCTGCTTATTCTTATTATTCTGGCCATCTAATCTTCAGCATCGAGTGAGCGTAGGCGACAGCTGTTGATGTTACGCATGTTTGCAGTTTGCTGGAAATGCTTTTCGTAACGCGCTAAGTCTCTCAACCATCACATAGAAGCACTGACTGACTTACTTACGTGACTGATTTAGTGTTGAAAATCCGGATCTTGTTCACCCTTTATGCTGAGTGCATTGCAGTAGATCTCCATACTGATTTCAGATTAATGGAGGCTTGTCTTGCTGTCTTACCGATTCTGGCTGCTTTGACATCCTCATCTGTGTCTGTGCCGCCGCTTGTAGTTGAGACGATGCTGTCTAGGTAGGTGGGTGAAAGAGACAACTTCCTTTAGATTTCTCCTGTCGATGATGATTGGTGCTTGTTGTTGTTATTGGTTGGGTACCTTCATCACCTCTGTCTCCTCTACGTTCACCTGAAGTTCCATTTTTTATGTCCTCTCTCTTCTGCCAACTTATCGGTTTTGGCCTGCAGATCTTCGAGTTTGTGCAACATAAGACAGACGTAAATCATCATCGGCGAAATCCGAATCTTCTAGGCTCTTTTCATCGGTCCAGCCAACGTATGTCCATCTTCTCGTACCTCACGGTTTGCTGCATGATTCAGTCTACCACGATCAGGAATATTATCGGTGATAGTAGGCGGCAACCTTGTCTTACTTCTTCCTGTCTTCACTTAAAAGGCGTCACTGAGCTTTCCCATTGTGGATCACTTGGCATGTGGTATCGCCATATAGTTGTTGAATGAGGTTGATAAGGGTTCGTGGCACTCCGTAGTGCTGAAGCTACTGGCAAATTACTTCTCGGTCAACGCTGTCGAAGGCCTTTTCAAAATCGACGAGGTTGAGGTAAAGAGTTGACTGCTATTCTGTGCCTCAAATCAATGAGACAGACTTATTGTGTTGTCCAAGCCTCAGTAGGTGGAGCGGTGTTCAAACTTGTGAGCTACTGGTTGAAAATCGACTGCCTAAACTAATGAGCCACAGCTTAACCTAATTTAATAGAATAATTCATGAAATTAGAATTACGACGAAAGAAGTTTTGGTTTGGGGAAATTATTCTCTAGCTTAAGAACAAGTAGTTGGAACCAGTGAGTAACATCACACTATTTCTATAGCAAATGTACTCTCGCTCATGTGTAATAAAACTCTCAAGTGAGCAGTTATGATGCCAGTGGTATAGAAACAGGTGAAGGGAATAAAAGTCAGACAAGTTTCAAATCTTCATCGAATAATGAAACGTGGACAGGTGAGCATGATGGTCATTGTCTACAACAACGTACAGTACTAAGTGAAATAAGAGATAGATAAAATAAGCCTCTGTGTGGTCAAAAGGAAATATTACATCAGTCTATTAAGTTGTTCGCAACTAGTTTTAGCGGAGTGAAAATCTACAGGATACCTTGGTAGAATTTGTGAAACAGCCGACTTCAGTAGTAAAGATGCATCAAGTTGTCATTGCTTTAGACGGTGAAAATTTTGTCGTATCTGTGCTTCTTTTGTATTTCCTAACCGTTCTGCTCTTTCCTGTTTTATTTTGTCAACTATGATGACTACTATTTTCATTACGGTTACTACCTTTGATTGTGTTTTTAGTAAGATGTAGCAGTTTAGACTGATAAGCTGCTATAGAAAATCCTAAATTTATCTCAAGTTTCCATCAGTAACATTGTTATACTTAGTGGTTAAACGCAGTATGCAAAAGTAATGGTATAATTTACCCCATTCAGTCATTCCATGATCAGAAGTTAAAATGTAAGCAATACGTGCACCTGTTCCACGAGATTTTTCGATTAACTTTTGATAAACTTGTAGAGCTGCCTTATCCAAATGACGTAGGACTGTGATATATTCAGGTGAGTTGGGTTTAAAAGAATGACCAACCATATCAGCTGCATCAAGGTGTAAGAAAACCATTCGACCCTGACGATAGTCATTCGACTTGACAGTGAGGTTACCAAAGAATTCTTCAGAGTGATCGACAAAATCCTGAACATTCCCATTTAAAAGTGAAGAAAAAGTTACAAGTTTATAACAGCCTAACTCACATGGATCTAGCAAAAGAATAAATAGAAGTTTAGTTGGATGCAATGGTGACATGGCTGAAAAACGGTGACAAAGATGCAGATGTATTTACTCCCTAACATCTAAAGCTTGAATATTTGCACTCACCATGATCTTCAAATTGTTGATTCACTCACACAACTTCTACTTTAATATCATTCTTTTTCTATTCACTTGTTTTTTTGTATACTACCGTGAAGCGTAGCACCGTGAACAGATGGGCTTATATGACAGGTTCTACGCTGATTTTGTCTGCCTGTCTATTTGTAAGCAGTGACTATTTAATTCTGAAATGAGGTAGCAGTTGGAGTAGCAATAAAACGCATTAAAACTGTGAATACTCACTTGTCAACTTTAGATAAACCATGAACACAAAACGGCAGAGAGATGTTGGCTGACCACTAACTAAACAAGCAATAAACGGTACAGAAACCTTTGGGATGGGGTTTACAACACTTTCCAAGCTATAGAAATTAGTGTTTCAAACTGAATAATGGCCTATTTCTTGTCGAAATGCATCTAAGCTACTTAAACGAACTTCTTGTCGCATGCAAACTGATGTATAAAGGCGAAAATAAATGGCTGTCAAATATACACAGAGCGAAACCTCAAGTTCCATAGGCATGTAAAAAACGATGTACACTGGAGGGCCGTATACTCAACATTTTATCAACAGACTAATATATTTTAACTGTGCTCAGGCTAACAGACTGATGAAGGTCAACAATGGCTTTCTCTACATGGTAAAAAAAGTCCTAAAAAGAAAAAAAATAAGAGATAACACAACTGTGAAATTCGATATTACGAAGGAGATGGGGATGATATGTGGAGCATCGGCGCCAATGAAACTGATTCAGAATCATATCACTTAGAGTTTTCAACCACCGATTTCAGTTGTCACGGAGATCGCGACCGGAAAGTCTACATTTCCCCACACGGCTCAGACCATGAATCAGATGTACTTCCAATGTACAGTTCACATTTAAAAATGACCCTTTACGGGAGTATGGATTCCTTTTAGTTTCTACGTTCATTTTTAATGAGAATTATCAACAGGAAATAAAAAGTCGACTGCTTTCAAGACTTCTAGAATCAAGTGTTGAGCTAAAAAACAATAGTGGCGACTATATACAGGTCTGCATATTAACTGAACCATACGTATTGTATGAGAACTAATTATACTACTAGACACCTGGCTGCTCAGACCTCGAAAGACTCAGTAGGCATTGTACTAGTGAGCCACTTCTCTAAAAGGGACAATTGCTATAATCCATTTTATTTGCAACAATCTGGATACATAAATTTTATTTGTGGAATTGATTATTGAAAGCCTATGCTGATAACACTGTGTGGCGTTTGATATATCACTTAGGTCTGATAAGGTTTTTTATTACTGGGTGGATAGACAAGTGATTGAATACTTGAATCATATTCTAGTTATTGGAAAACGCATCGAAAATTAAACATACCATAAACTGACTGATGACCCAGCGATCAATTTCAGTGGGATTCGTCTTAGTCAGATCACTTAGCTCATCTGGGCATGGAGTCGCTTTAATATGATGTGTCGATGGAGAGACGAATGACAAGACAACTTCTCGATAACCCCAAATCCAGGCCAGATGGGAACGATTTAGTACAGAATCGAATTCCACAGGATTCGTTCTCCATCCTGAAGAAAGAAAGCAGTTTATAATATAAAACTAAGTTTCATAAGACGGTGTTCATCGTGAAGTAATTTCCCTGCAGTGTTAAGTCCTGTTATCGTAAACACCACACAACTTCCCACCTGTATTTTCTTTATCCTTATTACGGTGTGATATTGTTGGTAGCATCTCACATCCAAGTGAAATGTTGATGGATTCTATGTAGCAAAGTGGTAGTACAGTTCAAGATAATTTGCTTGTAGATCTGTTACACGTTGTAATATCTGGTTTACTCGGAGAACAAATATATTGCTTGAAAGAACTATATTGTCAAATAAGAAGTGGTTGGAATTTTGAGAAGGTACCAATTGACCTTTCCTTCCTTCCTTCAACTAGACGTAAATTAGCTGCATTTATGAATAATTTCGGTAACCTCTGATCAGTAATAATTATTTGAATATTCCAGTAATCCCTATAAAACCTTATCTTTGAAGTGAATTATTACGCAGACATCATATGCAGCCATAATTTCTACTCATAACGTAACTGACACAGCTATTCATCTTTGTAGAACAGCCGGACTAAAGAAAGGAGTTAATCATTTAACCGTAGTGAATATAATTTTGCCCCCGATATGCATTATAAGTTTCCGATGAATAATAAAGAACCTTAATTAAATACATCAAACTTCTACTAATGTACAAATAAATATGGAATAAATGAGATACCGCAATAACTATACTTATGACCAGTGAGACCGCCTTAGGCATAAGTGTTTGACTAACTTCAAGAAAAAAATATACCAAGGACATAATAAGTGCAATTGAAGTTTTCAAAAATAGTGACTTTTGGTCATGCTCGATAGAGTTTAGTAAGTGCCGATGACGATGAGTGACTTCATCCAAAATTATGGATGACACAATAATTTTAAATATTGAATGATTTCGGTTTAAGAACCGATACCTAATTAACAGTTCAAATCAAGGAAACAAAATTCGCTAAAGTTGCTACACTTTTGAACAGTGGAATCAAGTCAAAAAGAATCAAAAGTAAAAGAGAAAAAGGTTATTAGAATCGGAATGTTAAAAATTGTAATCCAGGCGATTCCATATTAAAAATTATTGAAAATCTCTCTTTTTCTCTGCTAAGGTATTAAACGAATGAATTAAGCAACCAAACGAACACAAACCGACTAACCTTTAGTTATAGAAGCTACATCTTCATAAAATCCGGCCAACATAGCAACGTGCGCAGGTCTTGATTCTGTAGGTACTCGTGTATGTGACACACCCCACAATCCACGATGCATGAGGACGTCTCTGCGCAGGTGCACAAAAATGTGGAGGGAAAAAATTTGTAGATAAACCTGAAGTACATATGATAGGATATAATCCAACATACGGCAACTAAATGTAAACTAAGAGAGCGATAATAGAGAACAAGTATACTTCCACTGACAAAAAGATGAAATGCTCCTATTTAATCATAAAGAGAAACGTGAGTGAACTAATTCTTTTTCGGCTGCTATTCCCAAAAGTTGTACAGCTGCATTAAAGTGTTAACATCTAGCGGTAAGAATGCTAGCGAGGTATGCAAAATTATATTTCCTAGTACGTTTTGGTCGGAAAAATTATCTGGGAAAGTTACGTAGGAAAGTAGTAAAGTATTTAAAACATTTCATGTGGAAATTAATTCATCTTTTCTTTGGGTCGTATGCAGAAGCAGACTGTTCAACTTTCCCGTCGAAATATTCCACTATGCCCTGGTAAAAGTCAAAGTAGGCAGATACACAGTTTCATTTGGCAAGGCTTAGTTGAAAATGACTTTATTTTGTTTAAGCTTTAGCAATGCGGAAATGGCGATTGTTCCATTCATTTTTAAATTTTCTACTTCTAACTAATTAGTTTTGATTTTGTGATTACGTTTTGCAGCTAAAATACTAACCTCTTATTCCTTCCCTCAGTGACAACTAACTACTCACTGTCATAGGCATTTTTCGTTTCCTGATTTCAATTTACGCTTATTTTATTGCAGTTACTTATTCTAATTTCTAAACATCTTAGTACCAGACATAACTTTCATTCCTGTTATTTTCCTTACCATGACCTATTGAGAATTCTATTTTATAAACCAAGCTAGTAATTTTACCAGTAGAAACTCAGAACTAAGTGGATTTGAGTGCTGTTATGTAGCTTCTGAGAATGACAGCCGAAAATGAATTCGTTCGTTGAAGTCTTTCTCTTCGGACATCAGGAATTGTACAGCCATTAGAAAGGGTCAGGTGAGAATTTTCGTTGCGACTGGAACACGGGCCTGGATTGTGGACACGCGCTGGCTTATTATTCTGTGCATTTGATCAAAATAAGTGCTACATATGAGAACCCCATTAAAGGTACCGAACTTCGGCAAACCAGGTAGTATCACCAGCATCCACACAATGTAGAGCTCCTTATCTAGTAGAACTGCTTGTCGAGAAAGTTTTAGTTTTTTGCTTGGCTTTGAAACATAGTCATTGAAGGCGAAGGATATGACGAGGCTGTACTTGTTCAGTAACTATTGTCTCCATAGTATCAGCTGAGTTTCCTATAAACCCCGATTTGAGAGACATAAATTAGGCGGTCTCCAGGAAAACGTATGAGTCAGTCAATGAAGCTGTAAATCATTGACCCAGACTGCGTATAACGAGGCACTACACCCATATGTAGTATATTTATTACAATAGAGGTGAATTTGAAGAAAATCAAGGAACACAAGACGAAGAAGTAAAACTCATCAGTGGACTCTATGGCTGCTTATGTAAGAGTACAGCTTGGCTATTTTAATAGTGAAAGTTTATCATTAAATCTGTTTGCTGATACGCTACAAAGTGAAAAAGTGTTTTTACCTCATGATGTCTTAAATAGGATTTATGTTCGTATTCACATCAAAGGTGACCAAAAGCCTTTTACACTCCGTATTTATAGCCCTATTTTCCCTTCTTTATTTAGTATATGAGTAGTAGTTTTCCAAATATCTGGAATAAGTGGAGTCATTCTTATTGCATGTGTTCGAAAAACTGAGTTTCTTGCAACGCATGAAATTAAGTCCAGAACTTCAAACGTCTACACAATAAATCATTTACTCACCTTAGGAATGGTGTATATTCCATATCGTTACCGAATAGTTTGTCCGCCCGAAGTCCGTCAGAGACAATGAAAATAACGTGTGTTGCTGGGGCGCTTACATTCAGAGGAACGAGGTTTGTTCCATGTGTTAGTGGTGAGGTATAATAAATATCAAATATAGAGTAAAATTGTATCAAATATATGAAGACGGTTAAGCAAAACTCGACCACCTGGAACACCTGGAACATGACCTTCCAGACAAATCTCCGCGCATTACATCATCCAACATGCAACAGCAGTAGTGGGAGTAGACGAAACTTGTACTTTTTGTAGAGGAAAGGTGCGTCTTATTGCAGATACTAAGGTTGGGGAATACAGGGATGGAAGGGTGTATCATCAGCTGCTACTGACAAGTGTTCGTGGTAAGCTATTTGGGCTCACATACCCATTCAGTAATCGTTTGAAGGAGTCGACTGATGTATCTGTGTCCACTTCCTTCGGCAGACCATTCCATAAGGTACACACTCTGCGTGAGAAGAAGTTAAATCTCACTCCCTATGGTTGGGTATGCTAGGGGGGTTTCCACGGGGCTGTCGGTTTTGGACCGATAACGTTGTCCTATTTGGGTAGTCCACTTGGTGAATGATATTGTAGGCTGTCATCAAGTCACCTCGTTTCCTTCTATAGCTTAGTGTGAACAAGTTGAGTTGTCTGAGGCGTGGCACCTATGTTTTGCTTGTTGGTCCGACAACCGACTTTGTAGCTCTTCTCTGTACCTTCTCGAGAGTATTTGCTTCTTTTTATAGTAGTGGGGGGCTATCTTGTTGGACACCTCTAGGTGTGGTGTAGCATAGGTTTCAGATACCATAAGGAATGATTCTGGGGATAGCGATCTGAGCTACCTTCTTAGAAGATGCACAATGGCGTTCGCCTTTGCTGTCAGTAGTGTCCAGTGTCAGAAAAGTTTAGTTCTAGGTCCTTCTCTGTGGATACTCTGGTGATTGCACACTTGTTGAGGGTGTAGCTGATTTTCATCTCCTCTGGCATGCGAAAATACATCACCTTGCATTTCTCTAAGTTCAATCTTAAATCGTTTGCAGCTGGCCAGGACTCTAGCCGTAACAAGCCATTTTGGAGTATCCTGGGATCCTCTTCTTCACCTACCGTCCCCCATATTTTTGTGTCGTCAGCAAACTGGAGGATGGACGGGGAGATTTTGTTGGGGAGGTCATCTATGAATGATAAAAATAGGAGTGGCTCAGGGATCGCTCCTTGAGAAATCTCTGTTTCTGCATTCCCCCAGGTTGATCCAATCCTATGTTAGTGCAGAATTCTTTGTCCTTTAGGTATGCTGCAAACCATGATAAGAGTGATTCAGTGACACCCACTTTTGCATGTCTGGCGAGCATGATGCAGTGTGGGACGCTATCGAAAGCTTTGACGAAGTCCAAGAAGATAACGTGAACTGGTCGTTTGTTGTCCCACCTAGTGGTCCAGGCATCCCAGGTGGTCATCAAGTTTGTGGCACATAATCACCTGGTTCTGAAGGCATGCTGGGTGGGGTGAACGATGTTTTTTCCGTTCAGGTAGTCCCAAACGACACCTGCAACCAGGCTTCGCAGTAATTTGGAAAGTATGGGGAGTGATGCCGTTGATCTGTGGTTGAGTGGGTTTTTCCGTTGGTGAGAGGATGGTACGTTTCCATTCATTAGGAGTTGGCTTACTCCCAACCAGCGCGCGAACAGGTTGCATATAGGTATACTCAGTACTTGGAAACGGTTGCGTGGGCCTTGGGTCTTATGTCGTCAGAGCCGGGAGATTTCCCATTCTCAGTGTTGAAAGTTTCGCAAACACCTGGTCCTACGAAATCTTTACGTCAGTGAGCTTTGTATCGCAGTCCTGGTACTCCGTTACATTACTAGATGTTGATGGTGGATGTATTACTGGGTTGGGTTGCTCGTCACATCGGCTGCTCAACAGTTCCGCTATCTCACTGCTCCTCAGAGGTTCTGCAGCCGGCCCTGCGATCAGGTTTAAACCTGTATTTGTCGGTTCGCGTTGAGGCGTAAATCGATACAGAACTTTCGGACCGTAACTTAACTGTTTTGTTGCTTTAACGTCTTGTAGCTATGAGAGTCTAGTTCTTTGTGCAATGTACGCCATCGATACCATGCCTATTTTTTCCTCTGTATATGCTTTTAGGTTGCCCGGTGGTACCACGGTGACCTTTTTCACGGTGCCATGCTTTAAAAGCTTCTGTTAGCTATGCTTTGCAGTCAAAGCGTACAGCTGGCAATCTTGGTAGGGAAATACTCTGCAAGTGTGTAGGCATTGGCAACCTACTTACTCTGTTGGCAGGCGAATTTCCAAGTCCCATTTTTGCTGCTAACCACCTCCGCTGCTCGACACAATGGAGGTAATTATCACACCCTCTGGATCCACCGGCCAGTTCAGGTATTCCATGCCCCATCATGGTTGCAGCTGTGTGGAGATCACTAAAAAGTGACTTTCCCTTCGCCCCTCTGGTGACTTAAAGTTTGCCTAGTTTCACGTCTATGGGGCAAGAGGCCGTAATGTCCGGTCGGCGTGACCGCAGCAATATGTCCTCTGACCGCCTCGCTGTTATCGCGGATACCCTGAGAGGTGGTGGCTTGTTGCACGGTGCCCTACTTCCTCGGGAGAGCCGGCGTAAGTTGACCGCGATAGTTTCTATTCTCCACCTTCTGCAGTGGCCAACCCACTTCCCCTTTTCAGGCCGTTCCTTTTTTCCAAGAGTGAGTCTGTTGGTATGTGGACATCGAGCAGAGTGATGGAATCCGTTCTCTTGTCCTGTGGGTGTGGAGTATTGGACTTAGTGGCCAGTGCTTTCGGCCTGACTTTTACCTCATTCACTTCTGTCCATGCGTTCTCAGCACAACCTATTCCCCAGGGTTTTTCAGTTCCGTTGGATCGCCTGGATCTCAGCGATTCATGCGAAGACTTTTTTGGTGCCTCACTTGCAATGAGGGCCAGTTTCTTCCCATCTCCGGAGGTGACACTTTTGCACACTTGTGGAGCATGACCAGTTTCTAAGGGCGGACTATTGGAGCTCGCGCTTTGTAACATGTTTGACTGTGCCAGGTTTTCCAGTTTGCCGGCGGTAATAGCAGTTGACTTCTAGCAGTCTGGACATATATACCACACCCATTCACACGCATACCTCCTCATAAAGCTGTAGTACTGCCCTGGCGAACCATTATCACAGTTACACTGTACCCGTCTGAGACGGATGTCGCACGCAAAGGCTTAACGAGCCTCTGACGCCGATTCCATAAAACGCCAAGGTCATCAGAGGTTTGCCGCTTGTCGACGACTGTATGGTTTGCTTTCCGCAAGGTGGGGTCAAGTGTGGCGGGTGTCGATGTATTCGTTAGCCGACATGCACGTTTCCGTCACGCTTCATTTTTTACCAACAGTATGTTCGGAGACGTGCTACTGTCACCCCGACTGCATGGGCTTACCGGTTTTGATAAATGCTGTATCTGGTGTGACAAAGCCATGAGGTTTCTAGATGGTGCGGGTATTGCTGCACCCGTCTGTTCTGCATAGACTAGATTCTGTCCGCCTGCAGATCTCGTTGTACGATTAAAGGCTTGCGATCTGGTTTTTTTTACGGTCACAGTTCAGTGACTTAATACGCAAATAATATAACTGAAGAGGAGAATAAAGCATAAGGTAGGTAGACCACAAACAGGAACCGGATAGTCGATTTCTCTCACTTTATCAACAACTTTAACGGAATACTACTAGTGTTTATGTAAAGACCAGAAAGGCCATTTCTATGTGAACGGTCCCTGGAGACGCCTAAAAACTGCAGCAGTTGAACGGTCAAGACGAGTACGAATCACTAGCAGGAAGTATTTCCGAGCTGGGATAATTGTGTCGTTGTGAGTAGCAAGTCTGATTAACTGAATTGCGTTCACTGTTACGATATGGTTGACGGTTATTTTTCGGCGATAAACGTCATAGTGTTGTCTCTGGAATGTAGGCGAACAAAGCACAACGTTATTTAAACCACGCGTGAGCCCAAGAACCGAAATATCTTTCAGTGAACAGTACTGATATTTGCTCCTACTCCTAAGACTAGCAGGGAAGGTTTAGTTCTTCTGAGTTTTGGTGCAGTAAAAGCAGCCGTACTCCTTAATGCACATTTTAAAATGAAGTAAAATCTTACCATGATTTTGGCTTTCGCTGTTCAATAGCGCAACGGAAGCCCTGGCTTCAGTTAGCGTTATCTTTTCGAGCTTTCAATACGGTACGTCTACCTTATTTTTCCGTGTTATACAGTCCTCAACAGAATATCCAGGCCCTGCCTCGGTTTTAGGTCTGGCTGAACGCTATGGTTGTACACTTTCAGAGTTCTCCAGAGCATCTGTGCCGATTTTTCCCTTTCCTGTACGTTTTCGTAACAATGGTCGTAAAGCCGCAGATAATTTGGAGTCAGGGCTGCGGTTAACCTGTTCAGGCTGGCATACAGTCTAATAAATGCGACGGATAGTTTCATGATGTTTGTACGGTCTTAACGCTAATTGAGGACATTGAACTCAGAAAGCCTGAGGTGAGTGGCACTGCAGCTCTTGTAGACCTGAGTTGGAAGATGCTCTTCAACACAACATCAGTTTATTGACGGATACGAAAAAGGATGGCAATAAAACGAATGCAGGGGGAGCTGGCAAACTGAAGAGTAGCGCTCAGGTAACATGGCTTTGGAGTTTAAAAGCCTCCTAACGAAAAAACTCCTCGAGTTATCCCGTAAGAGCAAGGAATCACCTTGACGGAAGACATCATGCGCTTCAGTAATGCAATGACGTCAGCTGCCTCTACAGCATTTCAGTAAGACTTGGCCGTCAACAGATGAGGCTCAAATTGCCACAGTCGAGGATGTTCAAGATAGAGAATGGACATCCGCTGTAAGAAATAAGTCAGTTTTAAATAAATAAATAATAGATAAATAGATAAATAGATAAATAAATGCTATATTTTCACACTAGTAATTTAACGTGAGGGAATCCAGCTTTGCGGGCATCATCACATTTATATATATCGAAAAATCTACAAGATTTTACGGGTCCTGAATAGTACAGAGGGAATGTCGTCAGCTCCATCAAAAACATCAGAAGTTACGAAACGAGCAAGAAACTCACTAATCAGCCTACACAGGTTGTTCAAGTTCGGATAGTGGTAGTTCTTATCCGCATGTAATGAATTT